ACAAAATGGGAGAAATTATTTGCAAACTACGCAACTAATAAAGGATTAATAACCAGAATATAGGGGCTGGCACTATAGGGCAGCAGGTTAACTCCTTGGCTTGCAGTGCCGGCATCCCATCCAGCCCAACACCAGGCTGTTTCTCTTCCGATCCAGCTTTCTGCTATGGACTGGGAAAGCAGTAGAGGATTGCCCAAGTCCTTGGGGCCCTGCATCCGCGTGGGAGACCCAGAAGAAGCTCCTGGTTCCTTGCTTCAGATCAGCACAGCTCCGGCCATTGTTGCCAATTGGGGAGTGAACCATCAGATGGAAGACCTCTTTCTCTCTCTACCTCTCCTCTCTGTGTAACTCTTTCAAATAAACAAATTAATTTAGAAAAATAACCAGAATATACAAAGAGATCAAGAAAATCCACAACAACAAAACAAACAACCCAGCTAAGAGATGGGAAAACGACTTTTAAAAAAAAATTTTAAAGATTTATTTATTTACTGGAAAGTCAGATTTACATAGAGAGAGAAGGAGAGGCAGAGAGAGAAAGAGCGAGAGAGAAGAGGTCTTCCATCGTGTGATTCACTTCCCAATTGGCTGAAACAGCTGGAGCTGCGCCAATCCAAAGCCAGGAGCCAGGAGCTCCTACCGGGTCTCCCACGTGGGTGCAGAGGCCCAGGGAATTGGGCCATCTTCTACTGCCCTCCCAGGCCATAGCAGAGAGCTGGATTGGAAGTGAAGTAGCCAGGACTTGAACTGGCGCCCATATAGGATGCCGGCACTGCAAGCAGTGGCTTTAACCTCTACGCCATAGTGCCAGCCCAGGGCAAAGAACTTAAACAGACATTTTTCAAGAGGAAATCCAAATAGCCAACAGACACATGTAAAAATGTTCAGGATTACTAGCCTTCAAGGAAATGCAAATCAAAACCACATGAGGTTTCACCTCATCCCAGTTAGAATGACTTTCATACAGAGATCAACAAACAACAAATGCTGGCAAGGATGTGGGGGAAAATGTGCCGCTCCCTTGCCCGCAAAGGAACGACACTGTTCGCAGCTCATCGGTCTTCAGCAGACTTTTAATGGGAAAATAACAGGGACAGTGAAAGAATGAAAGGAGGAGAGTGGACAGGAAAGCCCCCTCCTTCCTCAGCACATAGCTTATATACAAAATCTGGCCAATTGCAAGCGGGCTCAAGTCCATGCACAGAACACTCCAATCCGCTGTCTGTTCACGCAGTGTGCACGCATCCTCGGGCCAATCAGATGAGGTGTCACGCAGCAGGCAGGCTCACCGCGCGGTCCTCGGCGCCATCTTGTTGTTTACAACATTCTCAACTCCTCTGGAATTCTCAACTCCTCTGGAACGTCCCGACCGTGGGAAAGCATTGCCCTAACTGAAACTAGCAACATTCACCTTGTGATAAAGACACAGCAACAGCTATCAGACCGACCTTGACATGGGGGCTCCATGGCTGCGCATCCCACGGAGCCCCACAAAATGTACCCTAATATACTGTGAGTGGGAATGTAAACTGTAAAATGTAAAGCCACTATGGAACACAGTATGGACATACTTCAGAAATCTGAATACAGACCTACCATATGATCCAGCCATCCCACACCAGGGATCATACCCGAGGGAAATGAAATCAGAAATAAATGAGCTATCTGCACCTCATATTTATTGCAGCTCAATTGAAAATAGCTAAGACGTGGAATCACCTAAATGCCAGTCAACCAAAGACTGGATAAAGAAATTATAGGATACGTACACTATGGAATATTACACAGCAGTAAAAAAAAAAGAAATCCAATCATTTGCAACAAAATGGATGAATCTGGAAAACATCATACTTAGTGAAATAAGCCAGTCCCAAAGGAATAAATACCCTATGTTCTCCTTGACCTGTGATAATTAATAGAGCACCTAAAATGAAACCTGTAGGAGTGAAATTGACACTTCAAGAAAGGATGACTTGAGCTGCCCTTATCATGACTTTTGGGAACATTTTGGTGGTTTTTTGTTTTTCTTTTTTTTTCATAATATTTGATGAAATCTTAACATAGAGTTAATCAAATGTGTATAAGGTCAATTGAGGCTGGATCTCATTAAAAAATAAGAGTAGGAATAAGAGAGGGAGGAGGAAGTTTGTTTCTGTAAAGCTGCATAGTTCTGCATACATTTCTACAGACTTAAGTCTAATGGTACAGTTTAAAAACTCGCCATGGGACTTCAAATCCCATTAAACTGGGTGGTCAAAATGCCATTTTAGGTGTTAAAGTGATCATATTAAGTGTTAAAGTAAATATATAATAGGATTAAGTGTCAAAGTGATCATATAAATAGGATCAAGTATCTGGTAATAACAGAATTAAAAAGGAGAAAATGTTCCAACATGGGAAGTAGTCTACACAGCAGACTCAAAGAATGACAATTGCTTTAAGTAGCCATCTGACCTCAGCATCAGCCCTTAAGGCATCTTGATCCTGCTGAAAAGTCCATGAGAGTATTTCACATGAGAGCAAGACACTGTGGCAAAAAAAAAAAAAAAAATTGTTTTACATGAAGGATCTCTGTGAGACCTCAGTGGAAAGAAGTGGCCACTTGTCTCTGAAGGGAGGAGAGAACTTCCACTTTGCTGATGGCTTTGTCTAAATACTGACAGAGATTGTGGACTCAAAAGGCTTTCATAGTCCTGGCTCATGTCAATAGCCTCAGGTGGTCACTGACATAATACATAAGAGTGTTGTTAAATTAACAGCAGGAATCGCTGTGCACTAACTTCCCATGCCAGACCTCTATCCTTAATGAGTTGTATTATGAGAGTTAACTGTAAAACTTGTTATCAAACAGGTTTTGTATGTGCACATGCGTGTTTGTATGCAAACTGTTGAAATCTTTACTTAGTACAGAATTTGTCTTTTGTGTACAAAGTTAATTGAAAATTAATCTTAATGGAGAATGGGACTGGGAAGGGGAGAGGGAGGAAGAGCAGGGGTAGGAGTGTGGGTGGGAGGGTGGGTATGGTAGCAAGAATATTCTTAAAGTTGTACTTACGAAATTTGTATTCAGAAATTAAAAGATTTCTTTGGGAGAAAAATAAATAATAAATAAATAAATGTCATATCTGAATTTGTAAGTAAAAATAATAATGGGTTAATAAGGCAGCTACACTTAGTTATTGGGAGCATATGGAAAAGAATTGTGTTGCAACCAGATGGTAAGGAAACCATATTAAATTACACCACTTAGAAATAATCAGAGGGATTGGGGGAGGGAATAATGGTCTTAGAATTGTACCTATGAAATCTATTCTCTAATATTAATACAATTTTAAAAAGAAATAATCAGTAAAATCCGGATTGTGGGAAACTAAGGACCAACAATCTTGTTCCTTCCACAAATAAACTACAGAGGGAAAAGAGGAGGAACTTACAGAACAAATGAAACTTTAAAGATATAACCAATCACAATGTGTGGGTTTGATAGGATCCTGGTTCGTGCAAGCAAACTAAAAATGAAAGAGAAAAGTAGTAAATTGAAGCTTAGAGATTTGATAGATAGGAAATACATTAAATACTTTTGGTGTGATAATATGCTTTTAAAATATTTGGTTTTTAGTGATTAAACTGAAATATTTATAATTTCAGATGCCTGATATTTCAAAGTTATGTAAGAAGCAGTATGTAGGTAGTGATATAAAAGCAACAAGAATGATCACAACAATTGCTGGACCTGGGTATGGGGTTCATTACACTTCACAAGTTTCATTATATAGTTTTAAAATATGCTTGATGTTTGTCATTACAAATGTTTCAAAGTTGAGATTTCATTTGCAAAAATAGGATTTTCTCCCATATACTTTGTTGTACACGGCCTCGGTAAAGTTTCTTGTACTAAATTCAGTGGATCTCAGGGAACCAAGAGCATTTTTAAATCAGATCTAGGAAAAAATAGATCCCTTACTCACCAAAAACCAGGGTTGACTTGAACACAGGATATCGCTGAAGATATGAAAGATGACAGCACATCCTTCAACATGCTGTCTACTAAAGGTTCTCAAAGACCGAAATTTAATTTAAAGATAACAAGAAACCACCCAGGAGAGTTGGAGTAAAGAGGATGCTGAATGTCCCAAGCAGCAGCTAAGATTCCATCCACTCTTGTAAGGCAGACCGAGTGGACTCAATACCTAAGACAGAGTCACGCAGGCGTATGGTGACCAAACCTGCACGTGGGATATTTGTCCCCGGGCAAAGAAAATACTGTGTGCGCTAGTGTTGGGATACTGCAGATCCGGGGGTGGGGATCATTCACATCTCCACAGCCTGGAAGGCCGAGCGGGGAAGAGTGAGGAGCAGGGACTACGCAGTGCTTGGAGGCAAAGGATTAAATGCGAGTTTCAGAAACAACGTGAATTGAACCTGACCACCAACGCTGAGGACGTTGAGATGCACGGCACCAAGCAACCTCAAAGCATCAGGTCCCTCCCCTTTTTCGTTTTCCCTTCGGCAAAGGGTCCGAGTGCACGTGCCGGAGCAAGGTGGTCTACAGGTGCAGCAGAGTAGGCGGCAGTGGGATACACAGCAAGAGCCTTTAAAGCCGCTGAGAGGGAAGGGGGTCTTCAGACAGCCAAGTGTCTGAGGCCCCGGAGGGCGAAGAGGCCGAGTCGGCGGAGCTCAGCAGGCCCTTCCCGACGCCTCCACCCCCGGAAGCCACCGAGCCTCGGTAGCGGTTCTGGGGCGAACAGAACGCTGAAACAGCCTCTCCAGAAGCCGGGGGCCGGCACGCAGTTAACCTCCTCCCCTGCGGAGACCTAACCTCGCCGCCACACTTCATTATCATAGAAAGCGACGCGGCAACTGTGGCGGGCGACACACGCCCGCAAGGCGGGTTCGACCCTGCCCAACTGCACGCCCCAAGTCCCGGGGAGGGACAAGAGAAAATACGCACCAATCAGAAGGTAGACATGGAGGACGCTCACCCCTCGGGGCCAATAAGAGAGAGGGTGGGCGGTGCCGAGAGTGTCGGTTCGCTCCTGGGATTTAAAACCTCAGAGACTTGACCGTTAACGGCAGGCTGGACGCGGGGGCGCGCCGTGCGCGTGCGCGAGCTGCCGAACGCTAACCGACACTTGCGGGGTTCGGCTGGCGGCGCGCCGGGACGCGGTGCGACGGGCTCGGCGAGGCAGGTGAGCTGAGGCAGAGCTGGGAGCGGCCGGCGCGGGGGCCCGGGCGGGGAGACGGGTGCGACTCGCCCGCCGCTGCGGGAGCCTGTGCCCCTCGTTTTCCCTGCCGCGGGACAGTCCAGAAGTGCGGGTCGCCGGCCCTCTGCGTCCGGGTGTCGCCCCGGCCGTGGCGTGCGCGGGGCTGCGCGGCCCCTCGGGTCACAATGCGCGGCGACCGTGCGGGCCGAGTCCCACCCAGGCCCGGGGACCGAGCCCTGCCGCCGCCAGACGGTGCGACTGTCGGGACCAAGCCTGGTCACCTGGTCGCCTCGGACGCGCACCTTTTGTGGAGCCTGGATGTAGCCTTGCAAGGTGTTTGCCTATGCGTTGGCACAGCCGGTGAAACTGGGCCTACCCAAAAAAGATAATAGACCTGGCTTTATGATAAAAATGTTTCTAGTTAGTAACTCAAGAAGAACATCAAGATATCTTAGAGTGCAGGACTGGGGCGGGGGCCAGTGTGGATTTATGAATCCGTTTAAATGGAACGCGATGTCTAAGCCGCCATCCACTAACATGACCTCATTCTAAGGCGATAAATCGGCCAGAATGCAGACGTGTATGTGTACTTGTTTTTAGAAATAAATCCGAGCGGTATTGAGTACGTACACAGAAGAAAGATGGAAAATAGTGGTAATTCCATCAGCCACAGGTAGTCGTCAGAGAGAACACTTCACATTTGGGTTTACCTCAGATATTTACGTGGTTATCCTAACATACATTTAATATAATTGTATACTAGGAATGTAATAAAGTGTTGAAAACAGATCATGCCTTAGTCATTTACTGGCAGCAGGTTTCTGTCAGATGTAGATGTTTATTGCCATTATTAACGGATGCATGCTCTTTCTTGCTATGGCTATATTGTACTGTGTACAGGGTACTTGAAAAAGTTCTTGGAGGGGCTGGCATTGTGGCATAGCAGGTTAGGATTCCACCTCTAGACCTTTCTGCCTCTCCCTCTCACTGTCTAACTCTACCTCTCCAATAAATAAAATCTTCCAAAAAAAGAAAAAGACTCCGCCTGTGAAGCCAGCATCCCATATGGGCACTTATTGGAGACCCAGCTGCTCCACTTCCAACCCAGCTTCCTGCTAATGTGCCTCAGAAAGCAGTGGAAGATGGCCCAAGTGCTTGAGCCCCTGCCCCCATGCAAGAGACCTGGAAGAAACTCCAGGCTCCTGGCTTTGGCCTGGCTCAGCTCTGGGCCATTGCAGCCATTTGGGGAGTGAAGCAGCAAATGGCAGATCAATCTTTCTCTCTCTCTTTCTCTCTCTCTCTCTCTCCAATTCTTTCAAAAAAATCTTTTTTTTTTAAGACTCTTGGAAAATGCATATTATGGAAAAACTACTCATGGCTTTCAATTTTTTTGCACCAAAATAAACATCTTTTAATTCCATTTTCCCATAAAGTACCCTTGTGTTATTTAACCAGTCTCTACTAATGAACATTTACGCTAAAGATAGTTTCATGATCATAAAATCTTCTGTAGTTATAGTCACAATACATCTACATTTTGCATTCTCATCCAGCTTGTCTCATCATAAATTGCTGGAAGTGGATTTAAATTACAGCTTAAAATTCTGATTCATAATGCAATGCCATCTGGAAAACTTAATCCTTCCTAATAGTCATTCTTTGGTAAGTCATCTGCCTTTTCCCTATTCTACTGATGTGTAATGTCTCAAAGAGAGAAAGGATTGCCAGGTCTTTATAGCAAAGAAAAGAAATGACAGCTACATGTGGACCTTTTTAAAGTCTGTATTTTATTATTTGCAAACACCTATCTAGATTTATTTATTTATTTGAAAGGAAGAGTAACAGAGATCTATTAAGTCACTCCCCAAATGCCTACAACAGCCAGGTCTCGGTCAGGCTGAAGCCAGGAGTCAGGAACTCCATCCAGGTCTCCCATGAGGGTGGCATCATCAGCTGCCTACCAGGCACATTAGCAGGAAGCCGAGTAGCAGAAGACTCCTTCCTCTGAAATGGGATGTTAAGCATCCCAAGCAGCAGCTTAAACCAGTGTCACAGCACCTACCCCATGTGTGATAATTTAAATGCAAATGAGTAACATGGTAATCACTGTATGAATTTTTTTTTTTTTTAGAAAAAATGTTTTGACTTTAGTGTCAAAAATGTTCCTAGCCCAGAGAATCCCACAAAGATGTGAATATATATATTTCAAATTATTTGCATCAAAATAAACATCTTTTAATTCTATTTTCCATGAACTTTTGGAAGTACCCTCCTTCAAACTCAAATTTCACAGTCTATTTCCATTTTAAAAGTGAGGTGTGCTCTAAGCCCTACTTTACTGTCTTCTTACACTTCTTTAGTTCCCAACATGGATCAGAAACTTGGGAATTTGCACAACTACCACTTCAAGTAACAAATGATTCTGCAGTTAGATTTAGAGGCTTCTCGTTTGTTCCATGTGTGATGACTCCTTTTTCTGTGTTAATTACCAAAAATGAGGTCACTAAATCATTTAGATTTGATACTTTGAAAGGATTTTACTTAAGGTCTAGGATCTTTAACCCCTTTGCTTCTACAGACTCAACTAATATTTGGCTCTTAGTTAAGGCTTTTCCACCTTCCAACTGTATAGTACTGCTGTAGAGTTGGTTTCTTGTGAAGGGTAGGTGGTTTGGTGCAGTAGTTAGGATGCCCAATTCCCAAATTAGAGTGCCTGGGTTCAAATCCTGACTCTGGGTCCAGTTTCAGCAGCTTGCTAATAGATCTCTGTGTCTCTGCCTTTCAAATAAATATAAAATTTTTAAAGAATAAAAAAAATGAGAAATGATTTCTTAAACTCTATTCTTCTAGGTTTTTTTTAAACTTGAATACTAATGCCAATCAAGATATACTGAAATAAGGTAAGAACTTAAAAAAAAACCCACTTTGGTTTGCTTTACTTGTTTAAGGGTTTTTCCATCATGCTCAATAATTTCACAGAAAAAGGAAGTGGGTAGGGAATCTTTACATCAAAATTAAAGGATGAAGTAATCATACTTAAAAATTAAAGGCATTATGAAGTGTTGGTAAACCAAGTCCTAAAATGCAGTCATGATGCAAAATCTAGAAAACTTGGTTAGTACCACTGGTTACTGTGAATAAACCTTGCTACTTTATACCACTCATTAGAACAGGAATATTTGTACCCTCTTTGCTGGGATGTGTGCCTCCTTACTCTTCAATACAAGGTCACCTCACTTTTCTGATGCAGACTTCCTAAACCTGGAACTTATTTTTAGTCTACCTCCTTCAGCAGCACTTAGCATCATCAGTTTGCTATTTGCGTGTTAATTCTGCCTGAATTGACCCATGTGCCAGTTGTACTTGACTGGCATCTTGGGGATGGAAACTATAGGAATGTAACTCAAAAAAAGTTCATGGAAAAAAACTAAATTACACAGTGAGTTTATTTTGGTGTTAAAAAAAAAAAAACTGAAACCCATGCATTGTTTTTGATAATGGGCATTTTCCATTAACTTTTGAAAAATTATTTATTTAGTTATTTGAAAGGCAGAGTTACAGAAAGACAAAGAGAGAAATCTTCAATCCACTGGTTCACTCCCCAGAGGCCACAACAGCTGGAGCTGGGCCTATACAAAGACAGGAGCCAGGAGCTTCTTCCAGGTCTCCCATGTGGGTACAGGGGATGAAATAGTTGAGCCATCTGCTGCTGCTTTCCCAAGTGTATTAGCAGGGAGATGGATTGGAAGTGGAACAGCTGGGACTCGAACCGGCACCTTTATGGGATGCTGGCAACACAGATGGCAGCTTTACCCACCATGCCACAGCGCCAGCCCCTCAAAAGTTCTTTATATACGTAGACTTCAAAAAAAATTTGCACCAAAAAAACACTTTTCTACCCGGAGCCCTGAACATAGCTAGGAAAAAATTATTTCTTGGCTCTGAATAAATCTCTTAAGCATATAGTGTAAGTATATGGATAAAACACTGAAAATTATTACTGACCCAAAAGGTCTGAGTTCATTTCTTTCACTTTTTTATGAAAGAGGATATTTAAGAGAGCCTTAAAAAAAAAGTGCTTTAAACTCTTCTGAATATATATATATTATATACTTAGACCTATATATATATATAAGTGTATATATATATATATATATATACTTAGACCTATATATATATATAGGTGTGTCTAAGTATTTTGAGGGTCCCTTATTAATTCTGCTTTGATAACAAGAAAGCCCCACCTCTTCACTGGTCACTGAATTACTCAGATCTGAAAGCTAGGAATTATCCTGAGAGATTCCCTACTTTGGAATTCCACACTTAGCCACTGAGTCCTCTGCTTTTGCTTAATCTCCAATTCATCTCTCCCTCTCTATCCATTCTTCACACTACAAATCCATTCTAGACCATCATCTCCTCTTGCATTGAGAGCCTGATATTAGTCCCTGCTTTCAGTCTTGTTTCCATTCCAATCTACAGTGTCCAGAGTGATATTTTAAATTTAAGATTCTATTAGTGAAACAACTACTTACATAGCATTAATGTTGTGTTAGATAGTTAGTAGTCTAGAGATGACTTAAAATATACTGGAGGATGTACACAGGCTATATGCAAATATTATGCCATTTTACATAAATGACTTGAGCAGCCTCAGATTTTGGTATGGGGGTGGGAGGGAGCTGCAGCCTATCCCCCTCATATACTGAATTACGGTACCTGAATGCATGTGATATAACCTTTTAACTCTATACAAGCTGCACCTTCTGCCTCAGACATACTTACAGCTCCATTTCTTTATGTTCACTTTAACTAGTCCCTGCTTGCTCTGCAAAGTGTAGCTTGAAGATCTCTTTTTAAGAATTTTAAAGTAACCACTAGATCAGGGATGGAAAATACTGTGGCCCATGACTGAAGAATGCTTTTTTTTCCCCACATTTGTAAAGGGTTTGTAAAAAAGAATGGGCAACAGATACCATTTATGGTTCATAGAGCCTAAAACATTTATTCTATGGTCCTTCATAGAGTTTTCCAACCTGTGCAGATTTATATGCTTCGTAAGAAAGGCTTCTGTGCTTTATACACCAGCAAGGTCAGGCTTCTAATGATCTGAACACAAGGCACAGGTTTCCAAGTGCATGCGCACATGTGCGTCTTTATTTTACAGTTGCTTTTTGCATCCTTCATCTCTTAAATCTTTTGGACAAAGAAGAGAGGATGTTTGAACTCGTGTTTAAGAATTTCCTTAAGAGAGTATTAAAGTCTTTTTTCACAAGAGATGATCATAGGAATTTCCAGGACTTCCTGCAGTAAATATTACTTTTGTATTTCCTTTCTACCTTCCTACCACTAGCTGGTTATTGCATCCTAGATCCTGGTGATATTTCTATGGTTAAATGATGCTTTTAATTTCTGTATCAACACAGACCCTCTTTGTTGGATTCTCCAAAACAGTTTTCTCCTCTTCATGTGTGTCATTACAGTCCCTTTTGCCTTTTGCTTCTTTCTTGTGGAGTAAGTGTGGGTGTTCAATGCGTCCCCTACGTACAAAATGCTGGATCCGGGATTCCAATCCTTGGCATTTAGGACGATCCATTAGTGGTTTATATGTGCGCATTTTCACTCCTTCTACAAAGGCGCTGGTGTGCTTTATGACAGGGGGTGTCACATTTCTCCACTCTATCACTCCATCTGTCTTCGGCCCTGTCCCACAAGATACTGCAACAGAGTCTAGTCCTTTCAACATGCTGTACAACACATGAGTTTTGACAGCATGATTGGCCCATAGTTGCTGTAGGTGAGTGACATTGAATTGTTGAACCTCCTGGTCATAGATCCACTTGATATTTTCAAACTTACAATCATGTAAGACAAGAGGAAATTCTACAGCCATACTAGAGACAAAAAGAAGAAACAGTATGAGAACACATAGCAGCCATTCAATAGTCCATCCAGAGAACTGGGTTGGGAGTAGAGGGGGTTACCCATTCTGGTCGACAGTGAGTCTTTAACAGCTTGAAAAAAAAATACTGTCCTTGGGGCTGGCATCATGGCACAGCAAGGTAAGCCAACAACTGTGACACCAGCATCCCATGTAGCTCTGGTTCAAGTCCTGGCTGCTCTGTTGTGATCCAGCTCCCTACTATTGGCACTGGAGAAAGAAGCAGAAGATGGCCAAATGCATGGGCCCCCATTCCACAGGCAGTTCCCAGGCTCCTGGCTTCGCTTGGCCATTATGGCCATTCAGGGAATGAACCAGTGAATAGAAGATCTCTGTCTCTGTAACTCTGCATTTCAAAAAACTAAATTTAAATAAAAAAGTATTTCAGGCTCATTAGGCTAATCCTCTGCCTGTGGCGCCAGCACCCCGGGTTCTAGTCCTAGCTGGGGTGCCAGTTCTGTCCCGGTTGCTCCTCTTCCAGTCTAGCTCTCTGCTGTGGCCCGGGGAAGGCAGTGGAGGATGGCCCAAGTCCTTGGGGCCTGCACCCACATGGGAGACCAGGAGGAAGCACCTGGCTCCTGGCTTCAGATGGGCGCAGCGCACCGGCCGTGGCGGCCATTTGTGGGGTGAACCAAGGGAAGGAAGACCTTACTCTCTCTCTCTCTCTCAATGTCTAACTCTGACTGTAAAAAAAAAAAAAAAAAAAGTATTTCACAGTGCTTGGAATTTATTTAAAAAAAAAATGTATATTCCTTACCCTTGAACCACCTTCCTATAATTACAGAGAAATAAAAATGCAACAAATGGCTCAACCTGACACAGACTTGATTTATATTAGGTGAATGATAGTGGTGTAACAAGTCATCTAGACTTGTTGATGAAGCTCCTTCATGCTATAAAATTTAAAACTGTTGGTATTTTCAAATTTGTTAATGACATCCCAAATGTTTATGAGTAAAAGTTAGATTCTTATAGCTTAGGAATGAATTACTAGCATCTGTCTGACCTTAGCGTGTACTCCAAAGAAAAATATTACTATATTCTTTCTGCCTCTTCTGCATTAGGAGATTCAAAAGTACAGTAGAATGATTACTTGATGCAACATAAGCAAGCTTTAACATGAATAGTTTGAATTGTTCAAAACTTTCTAACATAAATTCAGAAACCAAAACCACCACCAAAAAAGATGCAGAAGTGAATGTCCTTTTACTAAGGAGTCTGGTCCAGACACCTGTTCCCTTATCAATGGGATAAATAATAAGAGAAAATCAGAAGATACTGCTCCCCTCTACATGTTCATAACATCCTACAAATTAGATTAAAAGCTGTATGAAAGCAGAATCAATTATTTAAACAATCATGAATCATGGGAGAGAGGAGGCTTACTTGGGACTTTTTTCTTTGGCTTTTCCACTCACCTATATTGAGGTTTCTGAGGGTTCTTCTCTACATTCAGCAGCTCATCAATTATGTCTGGTTTCTCCATTCCTTGGCCAATCAGAAAGAGGATAGCCATCATACAGCGCACTTGATGATAAAGGAATGCCTGGCCTGTCACTTCAAATTGACATAACTGGAAATGTTCTTGCCATCTCTCCTCACCCAGGCTCTGGCCCACTAACTGTACTTTAGCAGACAAAATAGTTCTCTGAAAATTAATAACTCCATTAGCTACATCCATTTTACACAAGTTCCTGAAATCATGGGTGCCAACATACTTCTGGGCTGCACAATTCATGGTCACAATATCTAAATCAGCACGAGGGAAAAAATAGTGGTAAGTCCGCTCAAGACAGCTGAACCTAGCACTGAAACCAGGATCTACTGGGGCCCAGGCCAGTATACGGATGTCTGGAGGGAGCACCCGATTGAGGATGTGGGTATAACGGATCTCTTCAGCAACATCATTAGCTTCATCTTTTGAATTACAACTTTCTGAATCTTTGGCCATTGGAAACTGAGAACGAAGGTCAAGAGAAATTACCTGTGGAATTAAGAGAAAGAGACTGTTTCAGAGATGCAAATCTCTATACTTACTACCTACTATGAGAATATTCTGGTATTACTTGCTTTAAGAAATAATATGCTAGCCCTTACCTGTCCAAAGGCACTAACTCCTTTGTCTGTTCGTCCACACCGGTGATAGTTGGACGTCTGTCTGCTTTCTACTAGTCGAGTCTTGGTTAGTGCCTCAAACAGTTTCTCTTCAATGGTATTGGTTGTGTTTTCCTGACTAGCAAAGCCCTGGTATCCCCAGCCCAAATAGGCTATCCTTAGGGCTACATGTCTTCGGCCATGAGCACTGAAATCAAATGTACGCTTAGCTTTTCCAGTTCCTGAGGCATTTTCTCTAATGTTTGAGTCCTTATAGTTGCCCTGTTCCTTTTTAAGTCTTTGTACCTCCTGTTCCAGTTCTTGTATTCTTTTTAGAAGTTTCTCAGTCTGGTTTCTGTCTGTGTCATTTTCAGCCATGATATTACGACTCCAGAATTCAACAAATCATACAGGTCCTCCTCCCTGAAAGAGACAGCAAAATAATATCAGTTTCAGTGCCTGTTCCTTTGTTGATGTCAGTATCACTATGTTAAATAGTGTATAAGATTTAATTTTAGGTCCAAAGAATGCAGACTTTTTTGCTTTCCCAGGGATGCAAGCATAAGCTTAACTACTACAGATCAGTCAGTTTTTAAAATAGTCAAAACCTGGAGGAAATGTCTGTGTGGAATTTATTTCTCTGTTCAGTAACTGAGATGGGAGCCAACACTATGGTATAGTAGATTAAGCCTCCACCTGCAGCGCTGGCATCCCATATGGGTGCCAGTTCAAGTCCTGACTGCTCCACTTCTAATATAACCCCCTGCCAATGGTCTGGGAAAGCAATGGAAGATGGCCCAAGTCCTTGGGTCCATGCACCCACATGAGAGACCCAGAAGCAGCTCCTGGCTCCTGGCTTCAGACTGGCCCAGCTCCAGCCATTCTAGTCATTTGGGGAATGAACCAACAGATGGAAGACCTCTCTTTTCATCTGTCCCTCTTTCTGTAACTCTGCCTTTCAAATAAATAAATATTTAAAAAATAATAACTGAGATGACTGAGGACTGATGCTCTTGATATTTCTCCCCAAAACATTTCCTTTTGATTCCTCATATTTGTCTAGTTTTCCTAAATATAAGATTTTTCTCTATGGGCTATTTAAGTCTGCTTGAGTTTCTGCTGCTTTCCATTATTTCAGTGATTTATGATTTATTTCTACTCTCTTCTAATATTCAGTTTTGTCTTACAGGTGGTACAATAGAAGCTAGCCTAATTGAAGAAACGTATCAATGATTATATTTCACATTGGATGTAGAACTTGGAAACAAGATTTTCTCACTTTAAGCAATTTGGATGGCAGAAAAAAGGTAATTAGGCATCACTTGTTAAGCTGAATTTAGTACCATTTCTTATTTTTTTTTTTTTTTTTTTTAGTTAATTTATTTATTTGAAAGGCAGAATTAGAGAGAGGCAGAGAGCAAGGTCTTCTATCCACTAGTTCACCCCCCAAATGGCTGCAGGAGCAGGGAGCTTCCTCCAGGTCTCCCACACAGGCGCCATCTTCCACTGCTTTCCCAGGCCAAAGCAGCAAGCAAGATCAGAAGTGGAGCAGCCAGGACTCGAACCGCTGCTCATATGGGATGCCAGCACTGCAGACAACTGCTTTACCCACTACACCACAGCACTGGCCCCATAGTACCATTTCTAATAAAAAGATTTCTGTACTTTTAAGTTACAAGAGTCTGATGTCACTTAGATGCCAGTGTTGAAATTCTTTGTATGTATTTCAATGATCTGATGGTTCCTTTAGTTACAAAAGATATGTATCCATTTTGAAGGTTCACTCTGTTTACTATTCTAGGGGAACTCACCTAGTTTTTTGCGCTTTGAGTTTCTGTATGACAGGTAGATTAAAAGTTTAAATGTAAAAAAAATGAAATATTTCATGATTTATAACTTTTTCTTATACTTTTGGAGAAAGACATATCTAAGTAAAACACTGTAAGAAAAGAAGATTAACCACCTAAAAATAAAAATTTCTTTCATCAAAAAATAAAAAAAGTGAACCAACAGGGGTGAGTATCATGGCTCCCAACAGGTTAAGCCACTGCTTGCAACTGGGGCATCCCATATTGCTGATTTGAGTCCTTGATTACTTCCAGTCCAGCTTCCTGCTGGTGCACCTCAGAAAACACTGGATGACGGTTCAAGTACTTAAGTCCTTTGCCACCCATGTGTGAGGCCCACCCTTGACAGTTGCAGGCATTTGGAGAGTGAACCAGCAAGTGCATAATATCTATCTGTCTGTCTCCCCCACTTCCTTTCTGTCTCCCTTGCTACTGCTCTCCCTCTCCCTGTCACTCTTTCAAATAAATAACAATAAAAATTGAACAAACAAAAACTGGGAAGAAAAAAATGAATGGTGACAAAGGACTAACCCAATATACGAAGGTACTTCAAAGATTGTTCATGGAAAATTGAATTAACAGTTTATTTTAGTGCAAAAATATTTTTAAGTCCATGCACAAATAATATGCATTTTCCATGATTTTTAAAGTACTCTTGTATTTCACTAATAAATAAATTGGTTTTCATGAGAAATTCAGTTCAGCAAAAGTCCAAAAACCAGAGAGGTAAATAGACAAAGATGAAACATTTCATACAAAAAGAAAAAAGGCTTATAAATGTACAAAAAGATGCTCAGTTTTACTCAGGAGTATATGAGAATTTTTTCATGGAAGTGACTGCAAAGATGACAGAGTTCCATTTTGGAGAGTAGGTAGAGATATAAACTGTATTACATTGTTGGCACAGCTTCTTCAGAGGTAAGCATTTTGGCAACACTTCTCAAAGTTGAACACAAATGTACCTTTTGACCCACTGGTTCTATGTCTAGAAACTTAACCACATGTATTTGCAGAAGTATGTAAAAACCTACACAATTTTCATTCTAACATTAGTTTTTAACAAACGATTGAATCTAAATTATATAAATACCAGAACTGGCTGAATAAACTACAGTAGATCCATACACTGGAATTCTAAGCAACTTTAAACAAAATGAAGTCTATGTGCTGATATCACTTGGTCACTACAGTTACCTTTAAGGTTTACAGGGTTATATTATACTATGCTCCTTTCTGGTATTAAAGAAAAAAGTATACATGTAAATATGGAAAATTCTGGATAAAGCATAAGAAACTGTCTCTGAAAGTGAAATGTTACAAAAAGTACAAAGTACCTGCTACATATTGCACATTAAGGAGTGTGCTTCATTATCAGGTAGTCTGGAGCTTTTCTTAATGCCCGAACTTGCTGACTCTATCTTAGGAACTAAAGGTGGCCAGGCAGTGACAGTGCAAGCAGGTAATGAGTCCTTAGAGCTGAGTAATTGCCTCCTCCAAATTGTGCCAATACTACTCTGTACTAATCACTATCTTACTATAATTACTGAATTTATGATTGCCTTATTCATTTACCTTTTGTCATCAAACAGAGAAAAGGGAATGAGTAATATATGAGGTAGGAATTTATTTTCAGAAAAACTGACCACTGTTATCTCTTGCAGATGGCCATACAGTGTAGGGGAAGCAATGAAGGAACTCATGGGACCTGATGGACAAACATGGGCCAATATGGATCCAGAAGAACGAACTTTAGCAGCTGCTACAGCTTTAACTCATATGTGTGCAAGACAAGGTGAGGGAGATGTCAGGAGAGAAGCCCAAACTACTCAGTATGATCCCTACAGCAAAGCCTCAGTAACCCCAGGGAAGCGAACTACTCTTCCTGTGCAACTGCAGTACCCCCAGGTAGAAAGTAATAACACTTCAGAAACAGGCTCGGAAGCCTCCCAAAGACTAAGAAAGCCAGTAATGAAGAGAAAAGTACTACGGAGAAAGCCAGATGGGGAAGTGTTAGTGACAGATGAGTCAATTGTCAGTGAATCAGAATCTGGTACAGAGAGTGATCTGTATCTCTGCGACTTAAGACAAAGGCTGATGAATCTGCAGTTCCAAGAAGACCGGGAATCCCCAATTGATATTTCACAGAAATTTAATCTACCACATGAATACCAAGGAAATTCTCAAGATCAGCTCATTTGCTATCTACAAAGAGAAGGAATGGGCCCTCCAGCTTATGAACAAGACCTGATTGTGGCCAGCAGACCCAAGTCCTTTATTCTCCCCAAACTGGACCAGATAAGCCGAAACCGGGGCAAGATAGACCGCGTAGCCCGATATTTTGAGTACAAACGCGACTGGGACTCAATGCGATTACCTGGTGAAGATCAAAGGAAGGAATTACGCTGGGAGGTCCGAGAGCAGATGCTTTATAGAGCAGAGCCCCAGTCCAAGCCTCAGCACATATATGTGCCAAACAATTATCTAGTACCAACTGAGAAGAAAAGATCTGCCCTCCGTTGGGGTATTCGTTGTGACCTTGCAAATGGTGTCATGCCCAGGAAGCTTCCCTTTCCTCTTTCTCCTTCATAAATTGGTTTGCTTGTCTCTCCTTTCACAGGTCTGTTTGCAGTAGCCTTAATGTCTCTCTTAAATGGAAAGAAGTGACTTGAATAACCCACAGAACATTACACAGAGTAAGGACTTTACCCATCATTGGTCCTTCCTAGCTGTACATCATGTTAACATGCCAAAGTACCACTCTGAAATTCAGCAATTATAGGATAAATCATTCCAGAGAAAGAACAGGCATAGCCTTTCTATTTTGTCAGATTTGTAAGCACCATTTCTTTATGCTCTTTGGCCAATGTGAGCCAATGTGAACTGCTGTGTTTTAATATATTTAAGTTGCTGGGCATTAGTCTTATCTATTAAAGAATTTTGGAAATGCATGAGCTTCCAACCTCATTTTTATTAAATAATTCCCAAAGTAAGATCTCAAACCTGGAACAAGATTTGCTTCTGGTCATACTCCCTACTGCATTCTCACCAGGTAAATGACAGGCAATAAGAACAAACAAAACAACCTGCCCTTTACACACAGTCCCAAAGAGAACAGCACAGACAACCCCCTCCTATGCATATAGTAAATTCAGGTAGCCGTGTGAGACAGACAGAATTCCAACTCATTTTCAGTTAGCTCAGTGACATTTTGCCCCAGACTGTTTCCAGAATACCATGCTTTATTTGCCAGACTGACTTAGGAATTATGCTGTCACTTAAAGGGTATTCCTACTCTGCAATAGAATTTCAAAAAGCTGTCATAAATACCAAAATAAATCTGGCCTGTTTAGATACAGAACAAAATACTAAGTCTGCATCTCTTGAAATTTATTTGTTGTTAATACTTACAATGCAATGAGGAACATCTAAAATCTGGAAATTACCAGTTTTAGAATTTTGAGACCTGAAAAGTAAGATCAAAAAGTCTGCTTATTTGAGGACAGCTGTTTAACATATATGACCTTGACCATTACTATCTGCTAGGTTTTGTCCATAATATTCAAAGCTACATAATTCATAAAGTCACCCAGTTCCATTGCTAGGCACTTTTTTTTTTTTTTTTTTACTTTTTATTTTTTGACAGGTAGAGTGGACAGTGAGAGAGAGAAACGGTCTTCCTTTTCCATTGGTTCACCCCGCAATGGCACACTGCGCTGATCTGAAGCCAGGAGCCAGGTGCTTCTCCTGGTCTCCCATGGGGTGCAGGGCCCAAGCACTTGGGCCATCCTCCACTTCACTCCCTGGCCACAGCAGAGAGCTGGCCTGGAAGAGGGGCAACCGGGACAGAATCCGGTGTGCCGGCACTGCAGGCAGAGGATTAGCCTATAGAGCCGCGACGCCGGCCTAAATGTACCTTTAATTTTTATACCAGTTTTCTTAAAATTTTTCTAATTGCGTGTTCTTCACAGGCACATTATTACCCTCTTTATCTGGTCTCAAAGTTCATTACTGTCAAAATCAGTTTCCTAAGTGGCTCCCTAGCTCAATCCCTTTATTGACTAGGACACCCTGGGGTGACTCTGTTCCCAAGGCCAGTTCCTGGTGAAAGCCCTGAGCCCAAGACCCTCTCCTCCAGCACAGGACACCGCTTGCATGGCGAAGTGCAGGGGTTCCCAGGCTCGCAACGCGCCAGAGGGGAGGCAGCACCCTAAGCCTCGCCTATAGAGCAGCCATCGTCATTCAACTTTTTCATATTAAAGCTTAACCTCGAGAACACCAGAACTAGTGGAGAGCCAGAGGTAGCATTTACTGTGATAAACATTTCAACCCAGAAGCAGAAACGTCCAAGATCACCAATACTAAACAGGAATCGCGCCTGAACCAAGTCCGCAGATAGCCACGGCTCCCCCCAACCCCACAGACTGCAGGGATCCGAGTTCTGTTTATTTTTATGACAAACGGGTTTAACTAGGGAAGCGGAGTTTAACTCCACGGTCCCAGGGCCGTCTGAAAACCCAACTAAGCCCGATCGCAGCGTTTCTGCCCGGAGAACTCCAGAAAGAAAATTCCATGGCCTCAAGCCCCACTTGCATAAACCAACACTTTCCTGAAAAGACCAAAGTATGTGAAGAGGGCGGGGGAAAAAAAAGACGATAACCGTTCAGGTAGATGTCCACGAGTTAGCTCCTCCGCACAGCCCAGAGCGGCGCCCGCCGGAAAAACCCGCTCGTACCGTCCCGACGCCGTCCGCGCGGCGAGGCTCGAGGCCGGAAGTCGTCACGGGGCGCCGCCGGCGCGCGCGCGGAGCCTCCTGGGACATGTAGTCCACGGTTGTAGAAAGGGCGCCGAGAGAGCCGGGGAGCGGGCTGGACGCGGAGCCCACCCTAAGGTTTCTCCTTTACCTGCGACGAGGCAGGATCTGGAGCCTGGGGTAGAACAAGAATAAAACGAGACATTACAGTGCTGCGCTAAAATGATAGTAACGCTTTCCATGTCTGCCACTCTTGCGCGAAAACTCAGAGACTGAAGGTCTGACCCAATCTTGTGCTAGTTAAATGAAAGTTACCGCTGAGAGAAACATTTGCTATTAGAATCCAAATGGAAAGGCTAAAAGGAAACGGCTGGAGCGCTCGGGGTGAGGCGCAGCAGGGCTGCAGGCGTGTGGTTCAGCACCACGGAGAGATCATGACCACAGTCTTCTGTGCGGGCTTCTCCAACGGTCCCCAATCTCACAGATGCCGTCCCGAGTCCCAAAATTCCACCAGAAAGGGAAAAGATGTGGTCCTTTTGTGCAGATTCAGCAGTCCGAGTGCAAAGGATCGATCCCCGACGATGCGAGTGTATGTGGAAGGCAGAGACTGCCCAGGAAAGAGCAGCTTTCTCGGCGCCGCATTCGGGAACACCGCAGGGACCCGGGGCGGGAGCAGCAGTAGGAACTTGAGCGACCGCTTCCTTTCTTCAACTTTCGCCTTGGAATTCGTGCATCAAACCCAACGCCACCTTGTCCTTGCCGTTTGGCAATCGCCAGCCTCTCGTACCTCTTCTCATGCGGAGGCGGGACCGTGCCGGGAGAAAGGCGAGAGCCTGACACTCTCCACCTGGAGGACGGCCTGGGCAGGGGCTGTGGGGCTGGGGGAGGCAGGGCTCGCAGATCCGCACCCTGGAGCCCGAGACGCGGCCTTCCCGGAGGCGAACGGGGGCGCGGATCAACGCGGCTCCTCCAGCCGGCTCCGCCCCCGGCCCCCGCCCCCATCCCCCACTCCCCGTCCGGTCTCCCCGCCCCCCACCCCGCGCCAACCCTCAGGCGCCTGCGCGCTGCCCCGCGGGTGGTGGGCGCGGGCGCTTAGGCCTGCCCCCCGAGGAAGCTCATTGGACGCCGGGTGGGGCCGGGCGCTGCCTCGCGCCTGTGCTGGAAGCACGTGCTGGGGGCGGGAGCAGCCACCGCAGCTATGGCGTCGTTACTTTGGGCAGGCGACGCAGGGGCGGCTGAGAGCGAGCGGCTGAACAGCCACGTAACCGCCACCTGGGGAGGGCCGAAGGGTGGGGGCTAGAACAGGGGCTCCCCGAGGAGAAACCGCTGGGGTGGGGAGGGGGAGCCCTGCTCGCGTTTGGAGTGGGTGTCAAATGGGAGAGGGGAGATGTGGGAAGAGGGCCAAAGGAGACCCCGGGAGAGACAAGACCTTTGGTTTGGACAGACAAAATGAAGACACCTGGAAACCCAGGGAGGGAAAGCAGCTGGTAGTCCCGACTAGACTGGTTTTCTATTCCCAACTTGACCACTGAGCTGGCTTCCTCCTTAAATCTGCCGATTTGCTTTCCTAGTCAGCCTCTCCTTGGTGGTGGTGTGACCCCCAGGTACCGCCCACACTTAATCTGGCCTGTTCCAGGGGAATTTACCTGGTTAGGATACTTCACATGGGAGACCTGCCCCGTAACACTGCAGAGCAAGCCGTGTGGCAGTGGTCTTCCTGAACCCCTTCCAGCACCTTTGTAGGGGAGCGCTGGGCTGCGTGATGGTGTATTTCCTAATACGGGTTGAAATTTGTGTCTTTCACTAGTTTTCAAACCTCATCCACCCCCGGAAGAACCTTCATGGTGTTAAGAATACTACAGTCCCAGACATAGGTGAGTGCTGTTAGAGTGAATCAGATTGGCTTGAATTGGTTTTAGAAATACTGCTTTCATCATGTCCTTGCCTATTGAAATACTTTGGTTCTGTTCATTCAAAACCTTTTCCAATCATCCTACTCATGAAATGACTCTTCCTGTCAATATATGCTCTATGAACAAGAAGAAAAATAGGCGTACTGCACCTTACATATCTGTTCAGCCTTTATCTTTACAATTATCGTTTGTCTTTCTTCCTTTTAGATGATTCTATTAACATAGATGAAAATGAAGAAGAAGATGTAGGTAGGAGATTAATTCATTTGCATGTATCATAATACATTCTGTTTTGGTTTATCATTTTTACAATTTGGATGAATAATACAATCTCCGTTAGCAAACAACAGACTTTGCTTCTGTTTTCTTTATGAATTGGGAATATCAGAAGAAATACCAAATTAAGACTGGGATGTACGTATTTAAAATAAGTTGAAATTGGATATACAGCTAATGGATTGAAATTCCCAGCTGACAAGGAACAATAGGTCTCCTGTAGATGTAGGCTTCCTTGAGGTGTTATAGCAGAGCATAAGATGCTAGATCTTCGTTCAAAAATGAATTCTCGGTGCTATGTCATTCTTTCTAGAACCTTCTTTTATATGACAGATGAGAATAAAGGGAACTGCTTGCCGTTTAACTGTTGAACGGGAGAAACCAGGTGATTAGATGGCCATTCAGGAGTCCTGATGTCCTCCACTTTTCTTTTTGCTGTTGTAGTGGATTTGGCAGCTAATTCACTCTTAAACAAGTTAATCCGTCAGTCCTTGGTAGAATCCAGTCACCGAGTTGAAGTCTTACAAAAGGATCCTAGCTCTCCACTCTACTCAGTAAAAACGTTTGAAGAGCTGAGACTGTGAGTATTTTCACCCTTTTAGTATGGGAAAATGCTGGAAAGCACAACCCAGAACAAACTGACCTGCTGGTAATAAAACCATCCGGGTTTCCTGAAACTCAGTATTAAAATAAAATGTATACATTTTACATGCAGTTGAAATATAGCACAAAGAATGCTAGGGTACCTGAGTTGCCTAGCAAAATGACATGTTTTTGTGGTAAAAGATTTTAATCTTGCAGTGATAAGGGAGAATTGCTAAAACAGATACAGCCGTATTGCTGGTCTCCATACCAGAATTCAGATACAAGAGCATTAATGACACAAACATCAATGCCATTTGTGAAAAAGAATTAAACAATAAATGTCACATCGTTGTCTGCTTATGCAGAAAATAAGTCTTGAAGAAAACTGGTATGCTCCTTTTATCAGATGAATTTTTTTCTTTGTTGTTCAAAACAAAGTTCAACTTTGGACCCTTACCACTGCGCATAGCATGGGCTTATAGCGTAAGGGTTCAGCAGCACAGACGTGATTGTACGTGCCCAGGAGTTAGGGTATGAATGATGTATTTCTAAATATTTTTAAAGCTCAGTTGCAAAGTGGCTGAGTTTAGAATTCATCTTTCAAGTCTACATTTCTGAAGCTGCTGAGAAACTCTAGGCTCCAGGTGATCGTCTTTGTTTTTGACAGAAAGGAAGAGTTACTGAAAGGGATCTATGCAATGGGATTTAACAGACCATCCAAAATCCAAGAGATGGCTCTCCCCATGATGCTCGCACATCCGTGAGTTTCCAGGGCAGTGGTGTTCCACCTTGGTTATTTTTAGTCTCCTCTTTTCAATTTATGCCTAAGTTCTTGTATTCAGTTTATGTCCAGTGGTCTCCTCTCTTCTGCAGACCCCAGAACCTCATAGCACAGAGCCAGTCTGGAACAGGAAAAACAGCTGCCTTTGTCTTGGCAATGCTAAGTAGAGTTAATGCCTCTGAACTATTCCCACAGGTAAGGAAAGACCAAAGGAAGGATGGGAATCCTCATAATGCCAGTGATATATTGGTAATAAGTGATGTTACTGAAATTATGTGATTACTACAATGATACTATATTTAGAATAGGCATTCTTCCATAAAATCATAGAGCACTGGGCAGCAGAATGGGGCAGGGATGCAGAACACAGGCTTCTACAGTGCAGCTGGTGCCCATCCTCGCCTTTCCATTTGCTGGCCAAATGTCTCAGGCAAGTTCTCTGGGTCTGTTTCCCTGTCTGCAAAGCATTTCAGGAGACACAAGTCACAGCTGATCTATTCACCCTTGAGTCCTAGCAGCATGCCTAACTCGTAGAAATCGCTAATTAGCATTGCATGCATGAATGATGGGTGAGTGGATGCTTATCTCCTAGGATTATTGTGCAGACGCAGTGAAACAATGTCCATTTTTAGCACTGTTCTTGGAATAAAGTAAGCATGCAGTGATGATCCCATAGAGCTGTAGGGCCAGGAGCTCATCTAGTCCGCCTCACCGATTTAGCAGAGAAGGAAGCTGATGCTTGGGGTAAGAAGTGTCTGCTGAAGTTGCACAGTCAGAGTGACTGAACAAAGACTGTCGCCCAGCTCGCGGTTCTCTTAGTCTAGTTTTCACGCATGAAAAACATCTGGTAGTCTGTCCCTCTTTCTCCGAACTTCACTCGCTGACTTATTGACAAGCTGAGCTCCCGTCTCCACTGAAATGAATGCTGTGTGGAACACCAGGGCGCTCTCGGGCTGGCGCTGTGGCGTAGCAGGTAAAGCTGCCGTCTGCAGTGCTGGCATCCTATATGGGTGCTGGTTCCAGTCCGGGCTGCTCCACTTCTATCCAGCTCTCTGCTATTGCCTGGGAAAGCAGTAGAGGATGGCCCAAGTCCTTCGGCCCCTGTACCTGTGCGGGAGACCCTGAAGAAGCTCCTGGCTTGGGATTGGCCCGGTTCCAGCTATTGTGGCCATCTGGGGAGTGAACCAACAGATGGAAGATCTCTCTCTCTCTCTTTCTCTCTGCCTCTGCCCCCTCTGTAACTCTGCCTTTGAAATAAATAAATAAATTTTTTAAAGGGGGGGGGGGTTCTCTTAGTAAGCTGCCCCTATGATTAGCAAGATAAGCTTTGGATGTAGGAGATTAAGATCACACATGGGAAGTCTTGAACATGTTATACAAGGTCAATGATATTTACATTTGAAGTTTGATATTATCAATAAAAATTCTTCACGGTAAGTCGTGCTTGAGCACTTGTTGAGAAGTGTGCGTGGAAAATATTTTTAGCACTCTGATTCCCTCTGTATCACATATCCCTAATGGAAACACATAAATGATTAGATACCACCAGTTCCTTCCATCAACATCTTGCTCCATCGACAACCACCACCGTGGAATAATAAAGAGTTTGGGAGAATATCATTCTGAGAGGGGTTGGTGGGTGGGTAGGTAGGTAGAAAATATAGATGGATTGGAGCAAGCAGGGACTGTTGTGGAAAGAGGCAGACTGATCAATAGGCAGGAGGTGATGACGATTGCTCAGGCTGTTAACTGTCTTTTGTTCCCTCTCTCATTGATTCACAGCCTTCCTACATCCCATCATCCCCACACAAAACAAGGGTGACCAGTAACCTGTGTTTCCAGATAGTCCTGTAGAGGAAAATACGTAAAAGCTAGCTAATTCTCCGTGTTTCCACCCCTTCCTCCTCCAGTACTTAGCACTCACTTCAAACGTACTAACTTTTAAAGTGTATCCCATTTAAAACATGCAGCCTAAATCTCCAGTTTCATTTCTGTAGCTCTCGCTTTAAAAATTGTCATGTGTTTCAAGTTTGAACAATGGCTGATATGAACTTTCCTCTTCCTCTCTTTTCTATCTGACAGTGCCTCTGCCTGGCTCCTACTTACGAACTGGCTCTGCAGACTGGTCGTGTGGTTGAGCAGATGGGAAAATTCTGTGTGGATGTTCAAGTGATGTATGCCATTCGAGGGAATCGAAGTAGGTACCAGTTAGCCAGTTCTGGCTGATTTTTTAAATTGCAGCTTCACCTCTAAAGCTGGTTATAGAGCTTCTCTACTTTCTCATCACTGTCTCTAAGATGGGAGGTGTAATAGCACCTGTTGTTATTCTATGTTCTTTTCTTTGAGACTTGATTGTTTTGTGCAGAAGGCATTTTTTTTCCTTTTAGCCTATTACATGCTTATAATTAAAAGAAAAACTTTACAAACCATTAGAAGGTAAAAATGATTCTTCCTTTCCTCCAAACTCTAGTTCCCAACATAGCAGTCTTATTAACAGGCAGGCCTATGTTTTTTGCCTTTTGTTTTGAGCCGATCCAGCCATGTAAATGTGTGTGTTTTCATTGAGCATTTACAAAACTTAGAGCGTTTTTCATGCCATTCACTCTTTTGACTAGTTGCACTGTAATTTATCTAATATAACCAACTGATGGACATTTAGGTTGTTTCCTCTTTGGGAAAGGTTTGTAGTTTCTCACAAATGTTCCAGTATTTCTGTAAGACAGTCACATAGCTGTAATGCAATTTTTAAATTACCATGAGTTAGAATCAGATAAATGGGACTATTATGATAAACTAGAAACTTGAGAATTTATCCTAAAACTCTGAAAAAATCATAAACCACCTTGAGCCTCAGTGTTTGCACTTGGAAAATCATTACCATCTGTGCTTTTGCTTATGGGTTTTGTGCTGTGTTGCCCTGCATTGTGGCCTTTTGGGGTGAGGCTGTTTGCATCTGAAGGAAAGCTTAAAACCCTTTCTTTTCCCCTAGTTCCCAGAGGCACTGAGGTCACCAAACAGATTGTAATTGGTACTCCTGGCACTGTCTTAGATTGGTGTTTCAAGCGAAAACTGATTGATTTGACTAAGATTCGTGTGTTTGTCCTGGATGAAGCAGATGTGATGATTGATACCCAAGGATTCTCAGATCAGAGTATTCGTATTCAAAGGTAATTCAGATTCGTCCTTTCTTCCTGGGTCTTCTGTCCAAGTGAGGAACTTTGTCTGCTGCTTTTAATTGTCTTTACTGCTTAATTCCTTACCACCTCCACCTGTAAAACAAATCTGAGTTTTCCTCCAGCTCATGGGGTCTTCTGACTGCTGTAGTTCCCAGCTTCTTCCCCTAATAACCTTGCCTGGACTTGATTTTCACAATGCAGGGCTGCAGGTGGAATCTGGATAGTGAGTCTGCACCAGAACTTCCAGCAGTGTTTTCTATTTTAAGCAAAATTCTAAAGAGGTTTATTAAAGCGGTGTAAGAGTACTGTGAGGATACAAAAGATAACTAGACAGAGCAGAGAGCACAGTATACTGGTCTAGTCCTAGTTTGTAAATAAATCATATCATTTTCCTAGACTTCTCTACCAGGATCACCTGAGGGTCTTAAAGTTACAGACTACCAGTCCCAATCTCAGACTTACTGAATCAGAGAAATATGGTTTAGGAATCTGTATTGCTGGCTTTTAAGTAACATATGTTAAATTCAAATAGTACTGAAAGACTTGTGATGGGATAATAGTAACCCCCTGCCCCACCCCAAGAACGCTTTTCTGATATCAGCATTCAGACCTTTAGATAGTGTGCTACTGCTCTTTGCTGATGTATAGCCATTGTCTACTTACTTCCAATTACAGTTAGTAGGAACCGAGTTCTTTTAAACCATCAACCACTCCCCATTTCTGTCCCCTGTGTCACCTGTCCATGATTGTATCATGAGAGTTAACAGTCATGTTTTATTAACATTAATAATACTAATAATAGAGTATTAGTATGTTGTTCTGTTCACTGCTGGACTGAGCATTGTCATTATATTTTTCTTAAACAGATTTTTTTCCCTTAGATTTAATAATTGCCTTTTTTTCCATTTGGATAGTTTCACTATATAGAGATCTTTGGTTTTTTGTGAGCTATTCCATTATATGTGTTATATGTCAGTGATATTTCCAAATAGTCAATTACATCTTAAAATTCATCAGTTTCTGTTTTTTCTTGGCGATCTCTCAGGCTCCTCCGTCTGACTGCTCTCTAAGGCCTCTTGCACAACTGCCATCAAGGGTCTTCCTTTGCTCATTTACAGTTTTAAATATTTGCAGGATTCTTTTTCTCAGGTACTTCCTCAATATGCTGGAGTGTATTTTCTGAGGTCCTAAAATAAATGTGTAGACGGTTATTTAATCAAACCTCAAATGCTAGAAATTTTTTATTATATATGTAGATTTGATTTTTTGATTGATAGTTTGTCTTGATAGGAATTCTGTGTTGAAAATCTGAAAGCAATTTGATAAAATTTCTTTAGCATAACTTTAATATTTAATGTCCTCAGCTTCTAGTACTGTTACTGCCAAAGTTTAATGTCATCCTAACTTCCAAGCCTTAGAGTATGACTTGTTTTGTTTTTGTTTTTGTTTTTTCCCTCTGGAAGCTTTTGGGATCTTCTTTCTCTGTGGTGTTCTGAAACTTCTCAATGACATGCTTTGGTTCAGAGCTTTTGTGATTCATTGTACTAGACATTTAGTGCATCCTTTCATTCTCAAAATTTGTGCATGCCAGTTCTGGGAAACTCAAGTTATTTCTTTCTTTAGAGTGACAAACTTTTTAGACTGAGATACAGCACAGCAGACAGAAAGTATATAAAGGAGGAGAAATAATCATACACACGTGTTATTACTTTAACATTAAATGTAAAAAGGATGTTTATTTGAAATGATATATTCTGGCCGGCGCCGTGGCTCAATAGGCTAATCCTCCGCCTTGCAGCGCCAGCACACTGGGTTCTAGTCCCGGTCGGGGCACCGGATTCTGTCCCGGTTGCCCCTCTTCCAGGCCAGCTCTCTGCTATGGCCCGGGAGTGCAGTGGAGGATGGCCCAAGTGCTTGGGCCCTGCATTCACATGGGAGACCAGGAGAAGCACCTGGCTCCTGCCTTCGGATCAGCGCAGTGCGCCAGCCGCGGCATCCATTGGAAGGTGAACCAACAGCAAAGGAAGACCTTTCTCTCTGTCTCTCTCTTTCACTGTCCACTCTGCCTGTCAAAAAAATAAATAAATAAAAATAAATTTTAAAAAGACACTATTGAAATGATATATTCTATACTTTTATGTTACATAAATGCTACTATTTAAGCAAAACAATAGAAAAAATAATTAGCAGTAATTAGTAGTAATTGAGAGTAGAACTAATCAAATATATCCAAGAAAATATAACAATATTTTACATAAATATTTAATTCTGATAAGCATTTTAACTCCTTTTAACTCATTATTAGATATATAAGTTTTGTAGGCACTATTACATATTCTTAAGAAACATAAATATAAAACTTTTTACAAGAATGTAAATATAATTGAACTAGTTAAACAGCTTTTACCTACCCTTAATTTTAAAAATATCGCTTTCTGTCTCAGAACAATTGGATGCTTAAACTTGTTTTCTTTTCTTTTCCAATAATACTTCTCTGAACTTCCTTTAGGCTTCTCTCATATGGTAATCAAACTAATTACAGTCAAATTTAGTATTCTGACTTGTAGCTCTACTCTCACTAAGCCCAAGTTGATTAGTATCAGTCCATTGTGATGACATCTAATAAAAATGTCTAAGTGTGGAATATTTACAATTTTGCTTATTCATAATGGTAGGGTTTTATTTATTTACAATTCTTTCATTTTAGTAAATTTTTTTCAACTTTATTGAGGTATAAGTGACAAAAATCACATGTATTCTTGTATATAACATGATGGTTTTATTTTCAGTTTATTTTTCTTTATTTATTTTTAAACCTTTTATTTAATGAGTACAAATTTCATAAGTACAGCTTTAGGAGTATAGTGATTCTTCCCACCATACCCACCCTCCCATCCCTTCCTCCTCCTTCCTCTCCCCTTCCCAGTCCCATTCTCCATTAAGATTCACTTTCTATTAACTTTGTACACAAAAGACCAATTCTGTACTAAGTAAATATTTTACTAAGTAAAGTAAAAATTTTTACCCACACACACACAAAATATAAAAACTGTTTGAGAACAAGTTTTACAGTTAATTCTCATTAAGGACAGAGGTTCTGCATGGGGAATAAGTGCACAGTGACTCCTGTTGTTAATTTAACAATTAACACTCTTATGTATGACTTCAGTAATCGCCCAAGGCTCTTATCATAAGCTGCCAAGGCTATGGAACCCTCTTGAGTTCACAACCTCCATCAGTATTTAGACAAGGCCATCAGCAAAGTGGAAGTTCTCTCCTCCCTTCAGAGAAAGGTACCTCCTTCTTTGATGACCCCTTCTTTCCACTGGGATCTCACTCACAGAGATCCTTCATATAGGTTTTTTTTTTTTTTTACTGCATCTCAGTTTTACATGCCTGTAATGCTCTCATGGGCTTTTCAGCCAGATCCAAATGGCTTAAGGGCTGATTCTGAGGTCAGAGTGCTGTGTAGGCCATTTGTCATTCTATGAGTCTGCTGTGTTGCCTGCTTCCTATGTTGGATCATTCTCTCCTTTTTAATTCTATCTATTGTTATTACCAGACACTTGATCTTATTTATATGAGCCCTTTAACACTTAGTATTATCTATATGATCAATTTAAAACTTAATATGATCACTTTAACACTTAAGATGGCATTATTACCACCCCGCTTAATGGGATTTGGAGTCCCATGGAAAGTTTTTAACTATACCCTTAGAAGGATATCTGTAGGAATGTATGCAGAACTGTACAGATCCTCCCTCTCTTATTCCCACTCTTATCTTTTATTGAGATATATTTTCAATTGAATTTATACACATATGAATAATTCTGTGTTAAGAGTTCAACCAGTGGAATTAAGAAGGAAAAAAAAAGAAAAAAAATTAAAAAAAAAAAACCTGTTCCTCAACAGTCAAGAAAAAGGCTGTTCAAGTCATTGTCTCTCAAAGTGTCAATTTCAGTTCTACAGCTTTCCTTTTAGGTGCTCTGTTAGTTGTCACAGATCAGGGAGAACATATGGTATTTGTCCCTTTGGGACTGGCTTATTTCATGAAGTATGATGTTTTCCAGATTCATCCATTTTGTTGCAAATGACTGGATTTCATTTTTTTTTTTACTGCTGTGTAGTATTCCCATAATTTCTTTATCTAGTCTTCAGTTGACAGGCATTTAGGTTGATTCCATGTCTTAGCTATTGTGAATTGAGCTGCAATAAACATGGGGGTACAGATAACTATTTCGTATGCTGATTTCATTTCATGTGAGTAAATTCCCAGGAGTGAGATTGCTGGGTCATAGGTAGGTTTATATTCAAATTTCTGAGGTATATATATAACATGATTTGTTGACATACATGTACATTGTGAAGTGATTTCCATAGTCAGGCTAATAATTAATATCTATCACCTTACAGTTGCCATGTCATTTTATTTTCTTATGGTGAGAATATTTAAGATCCTTTAGACTTGTAAGAATTTGTTATCACTTCTCAGCCTTTTAGGCTAAGATCAAGTGAAGAATTTGTTTCTAGCTCTTTGGAAATGCCTCTCAACCAAAAAGACAGGCTTGTTTTGGTAGACCACCTGTTGGAATGTTGTAAATACCCTTTTATTTCTTTTTTCTTTTTTTAAAAGAGAGCAAAAGAGAAAGCTCCCATATGTTGATTAACTCCCCAAGTACCCACGATAGCCAGAGCCAGGCCTAAGCTGGGAGCCAGGAACTTAATTCAGGTCTCCCATTTAGGTGGCAGGGACCCAACTACTTGAGCCATCATCTGTCTCCCAGAGTGTGCATCAGCAGGAAGCAGCGCCACCACATGAACCCAGGCACTGCAACATGGGATGCAGGCATCGCAGCCAGCAGCCTGACCACCTCGAAATGTCCATGATTTGTAAATACTCTGAGGTACATTAAACATCATCATAAGTTAACCTTCTCTTTCTCAGGGAAAACAGTTGTAAAGCACAGTGGTGATTTAAACTTATGAAATTAAAGGTAAATTCCAAGTAAGTTACAATTTCAGTAAACAAATGAAAAAGTATTGTTCAACTTTTCTGCCCTTTCCTGGGAACCGTTTTGTTTGTTTGTTTTAGTTCTGCAACAGTCTTTTTTCTTTTTCTTTTTTTTTCCTTTTTTTTTTTTAACTTTTATTTAATGAATATAAATTTCCAAAGTACGACTTATGGATTACAATGGCTTCCCCCCCATACCGTCCCTCCCACCCACAAACCTCCCCTTTCCCACTCCCTCTCCCCTTCCATTCACATCAAGATTCATTTTCGATTATCTTAATATACAGTAGATCAGCTTAGTATACATTAAGTAAGGATTTCAACAGTTTGCTCCCACACAGAAACATAAAGTGAAAAATAATAGATGATTTTTTTTAAATGATGATGAAATCAGATCAGACCTATTGTCATGTTTAATCCCAGTGAGAGTCAAGTTGGGAATTGATAATTTCTTTTTTTTTTTTTTTTTTACAGAAGATCAGTTTAGTATGCATTAAGTAAAGATTTCAACAGTTTGCACCCCCATAGAAACACAAAGTGAAATATATTGTTTGAGTACTCGTTATAGCATTAAATCTCAATGCACAGCACATTAAGGACAGAGATCCCACATGAGGAGTAAGTGCACAGTGACTCCTGTTGTTGACTTTACCAATTGACACTCCTGTCTATGGTATCAGTAATCTCCCTATGCACCAGTCATGAGTTTCCAAGGCTATGGAAGCCCTCTGAGTTCTCCGACTCTTATCTTGTTTAGACAAGGTATTGTCAAAGTGGAGGTTCTCTCCTCCCTTCAGAGAAAGGTACCTCCTTCTTTGATGACCTGTTCTTTCCACTGGGATCTCACTCACAGAGATCTTTTGCCAGTGTGTCTTGGCTTTCCATGCCTGAAATACTCTCATGGGCTTTTCAGCCAGATCCGAATGCCTTTAGGGCTGATTCTGAGGCCAGGGAGCTGGATTGGAAGTGGAGCAGCCAGGACTTGAACCGATGCCCATGTGGGATGCCAGCACTTCAGGCAGTGGCTTTACCCACTGTGCCACAGTGCTGGCCCCCCAAATACACTTTTTACATTCCCTTCCCCATTGTTCCCACCCCAGGTTGCTTCCTTCACAGGGCACATTATGCTCTGTGTTTGTTTACCTTTAGCTCCAGTTGTGTGTCCTTTTGTCATTAAAATAACTCAGTAATTTAGCTTTCTCTTTCTGTTTGCCTAGAGCTATATTCTCTGATTGTTTTCTTCCTACCTGTTATGGATGAAATATCTGTTGCTGTCCCTCTGAAGATACTACTTACACTGTTTTTTAAAAGGTTTCCTGGTCAACATTGTCTCTGAATTATCCAAGCTGTCTTTTTGGTTGGTTTTCTCCAGTCTCTGTCTTTCACAGCAGACCTTTCCTCTTGGCTAGCATTTCATAATCTGAGGAGCTAAATTCTAATTGGCAGCTCTGTGTGCGTAGCTGGGGCTTGTAGCTTCATTTAGAATGATTGTCATCTGGAGGGCGTTGGGACTGTATGATGTCTTTTTTTTTTTTTTTTTTACAGGCAGAGTGGACAGTGAGAGAGAGAGAGGTTCACCCTTCAATGGCCGCTGCGGCCGGCGCGCTGCAACTGGCGCACCGCGCTGATCAATGGCAGGAGCCAGGTACTTCTCCTGGTCTCCCATGGGGTGCAGGGCCCAAGTACTCGGGCCATCCTCCACTGCACTCCCTGGCCACAGCGGAGAGCTGGACTGGAAGAGGGGCAACCGGGACAGAATCCAGTGCTCCGACCGGGGGTAGAACCCGGTGTGCCAGTGCCACAAGGCGGAGGATTAGCCTAGTGAGCTGCGGCGCCGGCTTGTATGATGTCTTGGTTCTCCTTCATGGGAGACAAAGTCTTGGTTGCTGGCATTTTGGAGTAGGGTAGAGGAACAGAGCAAAAGGGTTCTGCCATACAATATGCATTTTTGTTCCTGAATCCCCTGTTCTCAGGGTACACCCAAGTCTGGAATTCTTGCACAGAATAAACCTCTAGTATTCCTCACTCCTATCTGCCTGACATGGGGGGATCCAGCTGCTGCTGACACACATTTTCAGCCAGCCATCCTCCTGAAAATAATTCTAACCAGAGATAAAACTGCCGTGCTCTTACCAGTAAGTTTCTGTGTATGTACATGTCAGTAAATGAGAAATTCAGAACTCCAGGAAAGATTCAGTAATCTAAAGGACTTCCTAAGAGAGTCTCTTTGGTTTTTACTCAAGACAATAATAAGTAAAAATTAGAGCATTTATGTTGTTTAGTTAGCCTTCCATTTTCAGTTGTTCTTCCTTTAGCTTAAAAAAAAGGTTAATCTAGTGATATTCAATAGAAATATAATACAAGATACAAGCCACATATGTCGTTTTAAATTTTCTCATAGCCACATTAAAGCACACAGAGAGGCCAGCGCAGCGGCTCACTAGGCTAATCCTCTGCCTGTGGCGCTGGCACCCTGGGTTCTAATCCCGGTGGGGGTGCCAGATTCTGTCCTGGTGCTCCTCTTCCAGGCCAGCTCTCTGCTGTGGCCCGGGAGTGCAGTGGAGGATGGCCCAAGTCCTTGGGCCCTGCACCCCATGGGAGACCAGGAGGAAGCACCTGGCTCCTGGCTTCAGATCAGCGCGGTGCGCCTGAACCAATGGTAAAGGGTGAACCAACGGTAAAGGAAGACCTTTCTCCCTGTCTCTCTCTCTCTCACTGTCCACTCTGCCTGTCAAAAAATAAAATAAAATAAATAAATAAATAAATAAAAGTGTTTGGGAACCACTGAACCACGTGATCTCGCCCACCCCTTGGTAGCATGAGCAGTTTATTGTTCTAAGTGCTCCGTCTTGAAAAGTGATGATTTCTCTATAGTCTCTCTCATTTGTTTTAAATTTTATTTATGTTTATAAAAATTTACTTAAATTTATATAAATTTTAAGTTATACAAGTTTCATATATTTCATCTCCTTTGTTTTAAGAAATTAACTTTTCATTGGTGTATAAAATATGTACAGGAAAACACACACATCACATCCTGAGTGTACCACTGAGTGGATTATGACAAGTGGCCACACCCGTGTAGCAGGTGCCCAGGCCGGGGACTGGAATGTGACTTGTCAGCACCCTGCAGGTGTCCGTCAGCCCCTTTCCTATTACTAGCCCCTCGTCCTCAGGGTGAACCTGCACCCCAACCCCTGGTGCCATACATTCTTTTTGCCTGTTTTTTGAACTTCATGTAAATTAGCCCTGTGTTCATTATGAGTTCAGTGTACATTTTAATTTCTTTAGTTTGCTCCCCTTTTATTGATATCTTTTTTATGTCTTCTCATTCTGAATGAAGTTGCTTGTGGGCTGCTCTTCTTTCTCTCACAAGACATCTGAGTGTGACACCTCTAGCTGAATGACTTGGCTTGTTTCCCTGATCCCCCCTTAGCTTTATGTGAGATTATAACCATAAAGAGCATCCAGGAGTCTGCCTCACCTGTGGAGGAAACCGGCACGAGAAACCTCAGATCCTGCAAAACATATACTCAAACTTTGCTCTGAGCGCCAATTCCATTTATGTGTTTACATATATGTTGTTGGTGGCAAGAATGCGCAGGACACTTGGCCATTCCCCTGAGGTGCAGCTCGTCACGGCAGAACGTTGCTCAGGGGGAGCGGCCTGTGGCAGTGGGCCTGGAGTGCTGGACGGAGAATGGCGGCTGGCAGCTGTGTGACCGCCGTCTTCTCTTCTCTCACAGAGCTCTACCCTCCGAATGTCAGATGCTCCTCTTTTCAGCAACCTTTGAGGACTCAGTGTGGCAGTTTGCTGAACGAATCATTCCTGACCCTAATGTCATCAAGTTGCGTAAAGAGGAGCTGACGCTGAACAACATCCGACAGTATTATGTGTTATGTGGGAACAGGAAGGACAAGTACCAGGCTCTGTGCAACATTTATGGTGGCATCACCATTGGCCAGGCCATCATCTTCTGTCAGGTAAGTCCCTCTGAGTGTGTCCTCCTTGTGCCCAGATTTCCCTACCCAGGAGCGTGGGGAAGATAATATTAAATGCCATTTTGCCAGGTAGTGTGTTCAGCACTTATTTTATGTTACCTAGTTTCATCTTAAGAGCAGTTCTGAATTGAACTCTGTCTGTATTTTATGGGTGAAACTTAGAAAGGCTCAGTAATGGAATGGGATCTTTAATATGATCTGAAATAGAAAGACTTCTTATTTTACAGGGACTACTTCTAACACTTCCTCCATTTAGTGGCTTGATGTTGATTGTAGTTTTTACAGACCCTTCTTAAGAATGTTACTATATTTTTTAAAGATTTATTTTATTTATTTGAAAGGCAGAGTTAGAGAGAGAGATCTTCCATCTGCTGATTCACTCCCCTAAATGGCCACGATGGCCAGGGCTGGGCCAGACCAAAGCCAAGAGCCAGGAGCTTCTTCTGGATCTCTCATATGGGTGCAGGGACCCAAGCACTTGAACCATCTTCTGCTGCTTTCCCAGGTGCATTAGGAGGGAGCTGGATAGGAAGTGGAACAGACAGGACACAAACCAGTGCCCATATGGAATGCCAGTATCCCAGCTGGTAGCTTTACCCACTGTGCCACAGTGATAGCCCCAAGATCGTTACTGTTAAATCACCCTATTTTTATTTTTGGCTGTTTGACATTTTTCATGTTCATGTATTTATTTTCTCAATACCATGTGAACATGCTAAGCTTCATGACAGCAGGATCTGACCTATTGTATTCACCCCCATATCCACTGCACTAGACTAGCACCTGCCCAACCTACATATAGCACTGAAAATGTGTTCATAGAATAAAGGAAGCTTAGCTCTGGGAGCAGGCACTGTGGTACAGGAGTTAAGCCAACACTTGGGACACCCTCATCCCATATTAGAGTGACAGTGCAAGTCCCAGCCACTCCGCTTCAGATCCAGCTTTCTGCTGATGTGCCTGAGAAGGCAGTAGATGATGGCCCAAGTGCTTGGGTCCCTGCTACCCATTTGGGAGACCCGGATAGAGTTCCTGGATCCTGGATCCTGGTTTTGGTGTGCCCCAGCCCTGGCTGTTGCAGACAGTTGGGGAGTGAACCAGTGAATAGAAGATTGCTCTCCCTGTCACTCAGCATTTCCAATTAAAAAGAGAGAAGGAGAGGGAGGGCACGAGGGAGAGATAGGAAAGGGAAAGGAGGGGAAAAGAAAGGGGCAAAGAAAAGAAAGAAGGAAAAAAGAAAAGAAGGAAGGCTCTGCCCCTGGCTAGCCATGTAACTTTGGCAGGTTACTTAATATTTTGAAGCTTTGGAGCATTTTTTTTCCTGTCTTTAAACATATAAAATAAGTAGCTACTTCATTAAATTGTGGTGAGAATGCACATGGCCCTAACACATTTTTTATTCAGGTGCCCAGCACACATTAGAGTGTCATTATTGTGAGTACATCAAGTGATTTTGTCATTCCAGCACCATAGATGGAGCTTATTTATCTGCATTTCATTGGTGAGAAAGTCAGAGTTCTGATGAATTCAGAGAACGTAACCCTTAGACACACTGGCAGAGGGAGAGTCCCAGGCCTCATTCTAAGGCCGTTTGAAGAACGAGGGGCAGTGAAGCAGAACTCCTCTCAGCCCTCTCCCTCCTTACCCTGCCCCAAATACATGAGCGTGCCCAGCACAGCCGGGCTCCTAAGTTGGGGCACTGTGGTGGGTCTTGTGTTTTCACATAGACTCGTCGAAATGCCAAGTGGCTGACGGTGGAGATGATGCAGGATGGCCACCAGGTGTCCTTATTAAGCGGAGAGCTGACTGTGGAGCAGCGGGCTTCCATCATCCAGAGGTTTCGAGATGGGAAAGAGAAGGTTCTTATAACAACCAATGTGTGCGCTCGAGGTGTGTGTGTTTTTAAAACCTGGTCTTGGGATATAATTTTACATTGGATAAAATTTATTCTTTTCAAGTATATAGATCAATGAGTCTTATCAAACAAACATGGTCTTGTAACTATCACCATATTCAAAATATAAAATATTTGTATCTCCCCTAAATTTCTTCATGCTCCTTGCAGTCTCATCCCGTCACTGCTGACAACCACTAATCATATTTTTATTTCTGTATTTTTGTCTCTCCTGCAACGCCATATAAATTAAATCATACAGTATAGTTCCTTGACTCCTTCCACTTAATGTCACGATTTTGAGTTTCATCAGTGTTTTCAAGTATCAGCATTCATTCCCTTTGTATTGCTAGTAGTAGTCCATTGGTAGTACACTCCCCAGTTAAAGAGCATTTGGATTGTTTCCAGTTTGGGGCTATTTTAAATAAAGCTGTGATATAAATTCATGTATGGGTTTTTGTACAAGCATATGTTTTCATTTCTGTTAGGTAGGTACCTACAAACAAGATTGCTGGGTATATAAGTATGTTTGGCTTTATAAGAAACTGAAAAATTTTCCCACAGTGGCTGTATCATTTTGCATTCCCACCAGCAATGTAGGAGAGTTCTAGTTGCCCTGTATCCTTGCCAACAATTGGTATTGTCACTCTTACTAATTTAACCATTCTAGCAGATATGTAGTGTTTTGTCATTATGGCTTTTATATGCATTTCCCTAATCACTAAGGGTGTTCTATCTCTGAGGTGTTTTTAATATTTAATGAGAAAAATCTTTGTTTTTTTTTTTTTTTTTTGAAGCCTTCCCCTACTTTCTTCATCCCTCCTTATGTCCTTTCTTGGATTCCATACTGAAACCATATTTCCTAGTTCATTCTTAGTTCAGCAAATAGAACAGAGAACATTATGTATTAGGAGTGAATGCAGAACTCTGCTCTCTGATGGGTAGCCTAAAAAAGGAAGAGATCGGGCCAGCGCCGTGGCTTACTAGGTAAATCCTCCACCTGCAGCGCCAGCACCCCGGGTTCTAGTCCCGGTTGGGGCACCGGATTCTGTCCCGGTTGCCCCTCTTCCAGTCCAGCTCTCTGCTATGGCCCAGGAGTGCAGTGGAGGATGGCCCAGTTCCTTGGGCCCTGCACCCACATGGGAGACCAGGAGGAAGCACCTGGCTCCTGGCTTCGGATCAGCAGAGCGCCAGCCATGGCGGCCATTTGGGGAGTGAACCAACAAAAGGAAGACCTTTCTCTCTCTCTCTCTCTCTCACTGTCTAACTCTGCCTGTCAAAAAAAAAAAAAAAAAAAAAGGAAGAATTCACTGCCGCTAGACCATGGCCTTTGTAGACTGGCGCCACCCAGTAGAACTTCCTGAAATGATGGAAAGGTTCTATTCCGTGCTGTCTTCTGGTAGCCACTAGCCATATATACAACTCTTGAGCACTTGAGTTGTGACTAGCATGACTAAGGGACTGAATTATTTGATTTAATTAATTTAAATAGTCATGTGGAGCTAATGGTTACCATACTGGATAGCACAACTCTAGACCCTAAAGCAGGGGTGGGGAACTGTTTTTCTGCCAAAGGTTATTTGGATAGTTATAACATCATTCACGGGCCATACAAAATCATCAGCTTAAGAATTATCCTACTGCTGGTGTTGCAGCATAGCAGGTGTGGCTGCTGCCTGTTACACTGTTACACTGGCATCCATGTGGGTACTGGTTCATATCCGCTGCTCCACTTACAATCCACACCCTGCTAATGGCCTGGGAAAAGCAGTGAAAGATGGACCCAGTGTTTGGGCCCCTCTCACCTACGTGGGAGACCCAAATGAAGCTTCTAGCCATCTGGCTTCAATTTGGTCCAGTACTGGCTGTCATGACCACCTGGGGGGTGAACCAGTAGTTGAAAGATCTCTCTCTCTCTCTCCTGTAACTCTTGACTTTCAAAACAAATAAATAAATCTTTAAATTAAAAAAAGGAATAAGATGAATTAGCCTGCTGTAGATTATTGAATTTCAAGATCTACCTGCAGTTGCCTTGGCAGGGTCATAGCAAATGATTTCAGGGGCCTCCCACAGGCTGCAGGCCAAACATTCCCACCCTTCCCCTAAAGGAAAGAGGGGACAAAGTCCTACAGAGGAAGAGGCATAGTGCAAGGGAGGCAAGGGTCATGACCCAGACAGCTTGTTAGTGTTGGGGGGTGGGGAAGTGAAAGGCACTAGGGGTCAGAGAAGTCCTTGTAGGCAGTATTAGACTTGGAAGGCTTTGAAGGAAGGGCTGCAGTTCAGTTGGATGAGAAATTGCAGTCTGAGACTTTGTGACTGAAGTGTGGTGTTTGCGAATCAAGAGAGGAAGGGGTGAGAATTTCAGTGGTTTGAGGTCTTGAATTGTTTGAACTTTCTCCTGGACAATTTGAGCAGTGGATTCTGAGCACACATGCCCTGGACGTTGCTGTGGTGACCACCCCAGGTGAGAGCAGAGAAGTAGGTAAAGAGACAGGGAAACCAGTCTGGAAGCTGTAAGAGGTCAGGCAAGGGCTTAAAAAAGATACCAGGCTGACTTGTGGTGCAACAGGCTAAGCGTCCCATATCAGAATGACAGTTGTGGTCACAGCTACTCTGCTGTGGTTACAGCTCCCTGCTAAGGTGCCTAGGAAGATAGCAGAAGATGGCTTAAGTACTTGGGCAGTTCCTGGTTCCTGGCTTCAGCCTGGCCCAGATCTGACTGTTGCAGCCATTTGGGGAGGAAACCAGGGGATGGAAGATCTCTCGCATTTCCTTCCCTTCCTTCCCCTCCCATCCCCTGTTCTGTATGCACTCCGCATCCCCACACCCTCATCTGTCTGTCTCTCCCTCTCTGCCACTCTGCCTTTTAAATAAATAAATCTTAAGAAAAAAGACCTGACTAGAACATTAACCATGGGGTACAGCAAAGCTGGGGTCCCTTAATGGGTCGGGGGCACAAGACCCAGGGTCTTGCTAGGGACTTAGCATAGTAGAGGCAGAGGAGGGGGTAGCTGCTCTGTGGTCTTGGTGGAGCACCGTTGCCTCACACACACACACCCGTACACGCATGCACGCATATGCTTTGTGAATATGTGTCTGAGGTGATGGTATCTAGCCTCTGTTGACACCCTCACCCCGCATTAGAGACATCACAGCATGTGAGGAACTGCCTGAGCGAAGTACTTCAGTTACAGAAAACCAGGCCTGGTTTATAAATTGTGTCCATAAAGAGAATTCCATTGGCAGATGTGGTTCTTGCATGGCCATGTCTTAAGGAAAATATTACAGGAAACCTGCGGTGTTTCTCCTTTTTCAGGGATTGATGTGAAGCAGGTCACAATCGTTGTGAACTTTGATCTCCCTGTGAACCAACTAGAGGAGCCAGACTATGAGACGTACCTCCACCGCATAGGGCGGACGGGCCGCTTTGGGAAAAAAGGCCTCGCCTTCAACATGATTGAAGTGGATAAGCTGCCCCTGCTGATGAAGATCCAGGACCACTTCAGTAAGTAGTCCCACTGTGGCGTCTGAGCTACAGACGTACGCTACTGCTGCGGGGCATCTGGGAGCTGCAGCCCGGAGGTTCGTGATAGCGTGCAGGCTGACGCCGCAGGGAGGGACATGTCTGACTCACACCACCAGAGACCCCGTAAGAGATGGGTGAGTGTAGAATTCTCACGTGGTGCTTGGAGACAAGTGTTCATATCAGCTGGAATTGATGTGAGCTCAGATGTACCCGGTGCAGCTCACTCCGGAATCTGGAGCAGATTTTCTTATCCTATGAAGAGCCCTAAGCAACGTAATCAGAGTCCTTCAAGATCAGCTTCCTCTTTGAGTCACCCTTTTCCTTTCTTACTCTACCCTCCCAGATAGGATGAGCCTACAATCTAGGTCTGCAGCCCTTCCTCCAGCACCCCCTTAACAAGGCTGGGGCCCTGGGCTGACTGGGTGCACTGCGATGGAGACACGAAGGGCCCTGTGTCTTGGGATCTGCCCCAGAGCCCACAGATGTGTGTGAGGAGCAGGGCGAGAGAACCGTTTTCATCTTCTTGGACAGTGGTGCTCGCCCTTTGTTGGAACCAGTGGGCACTCTCCCCAGGAAAATGCACCCTGGCATGTAGATGCCATTCAGACTGTTGTTTTAAAGGTCTGCAGACTGTTGCTTGTCCACTGACCCTTCAGGAAGCACCTTAAGCGCCCCTTTGTTAGGAGGAGCTGGGGAGAAGAACCGTTAGGGCCGTTCTCTAGGAGATGACCCCCAGGACCTGGTCTGGAGAAGTGACAGCAGTGGAGGAGCTCTGTCCTCCCCAGGCTGTCCTCACTATCACCGACCACTCTTTCTGCCCCCAGGGCACCTAGAAAAGTATGTTCTGTGGGCTGCGCATCTGGTGCTCTGTGGTTAGTATTGATTGGTTATTTTGATACCTCCCCTTTCTTATGTCCTGCCTTAGGGCTTTCTGTAGAGGATGCTGCAGGAACGGTTTTCCCAAAGTTGTCACTGTCTTAAGAAATTCAGAATCGGGTGGAGCCAAGTTCCATATAACCCTGGGTTAAGACTGGTTCCATTCTCTGTTCTTTCAGACAGAAATATTAAGCAGCTTGACCCTGAAGACATGGATGAGATTGAAAAGATTGAATATTGAAGAAAGAACTTTATTATCTGTGAATTTCCTAGTTTATGTGAGAATGTCCCAGTGGGTTTTGAAGGTAATTTTTTTTCGTGATGAGGCGGTTTCAACATGGAGCTATCAGAGATGGCATGGCGTGGTGCCCTTGGGTTAGAGACCTGAGGTCTTCCTGAAAGCAAATTGACGTGGAGCACGTGGTCCTTTTGAATAAAAAAAAAAACCAAGGCATTTCTTATTCTAATCTCTTCACAGGTAAATGTCTCTTTGTGGATGATTTGGGATTTATATTTATTTACCTTATGTAATCTGAGCAGATGCTGTCTCTGTGAGCCTAGGACAATGCCACCAGATGGCAGTAGAACTTCACTGGTTTGGGAATTTGAGCTCCAGGTCTCCCAGACTGCCCTTTCTTGCCTTTGGTGTCTTTCCTCCCTCACCACTTCACCCTCTTCTGTTTGCGCTCACACACCTTCTTAGGTAAAAGCACAGGTAAAATCGTTAAAAGTGTGAAACCATTTGGAAGAGCTTTTTTCTTTTTTAATGCTTCACATGACATACAGAATTCAGAATATTTTCCTGTTCTGCTTCTCACTGTCTTCAAATTAGAGGAGATTTACTCCATCATCAGTTATTTCAGAATCTCTGGAAAATGTGGTTTTATTATAGGCTTTTCTTAAAAGCAGGTAATGAAGGTAAAAGAATAAAAATGTTCACCTTATTGAAAAGGTAGCATTTCTGGCCGGCGCCGCGGCTCACTAGGCTAATCCTCTGCCTTGCGGCGCCGGCACACTGGGTTCTAGTCCCGGTCGGGGCACCAGATTCTGTCCCGGTTGCCCCTCTTCCAGGCCAGCTCTCTGCTGTGGCCAGGGAAGGCAGTGGAGGATGGTCCAGGTGCTTGGGCCCTGCACCCCATGGGAGACCAGGAGAAGCACCTGGCTCCTGCCTTCAGAACCGCGTGGTGCGCCGGCCGGTGCTGCGGCCATTGGAAGGTGAACCAACGGCAAAGGAAGACCTTTCTCTCTGCCTCTCTCTCACTGTCCACTCTGCCTGTCAAAAAAAAAAAAAAAAAAAAAGAAAGAAAGAAAGAAAAGGTAGCATTTCAAGACAAAAGTTTTACTTTTAAGAACTTAAACTTGTATCTAAGAATCCTGGATGTTTTTCTGTAAGTCCCCTTGAGATGTTTTTTATTCTCACATTTGTTACTCAAAAGTGAAAGAGTGAGCTTGAGAAAGCAGAGTGAGCTGCTCCGCACAGAGAAAGCCAGAGCCTGTGGCCTGAGCCCACCCGGCAGCTCTCCCTCAGCCCCAGGCTCCCTCCAGAGACGCCGGTGAGTTCTCCCGTCACAGGGGCATCGATGGGCATTTCTGACCTGTCTGGATGTTCTACTTGCATATCACCCTGTGCACATTTTAACCCCGAAATCGGGGCTCAGAAATGCATGAAAATCATTGAGCTCCCTAATTCAATATCGTTATTTATTATATATTATAAATAAATATCATGTTATTTATCATTATATATTATATACACAAGAAAAAGGACGATAAATAAGATGTTAATAAGATCATCTCTGAATTCAGAACCTTAATGGTGGAGGCGCAGAATAATCCAGCGTGCAGTTAAGGGGGTTCAGACAGGTCGCTGGTGTGACAGCATCTGTGCCAGCTTCCAGAGGAGGGGACCTGCAGGGACTTCTCCAGGAGAGCAGCAGGGCTCCGTGGACTCAGTACCACCCCGCAGTTTTCTGACCTTCGTCCACTGAGGTGCGCTCCACGCCCAGCTCATCACCAGAATGACCTGCAGAGCCAGGAAAGAAATGGGCTCCCCGCCCCGTACAGACAAGACCAGACCCTGAGGAAGTCACACTCCCGTAAGAGAGCTGGAAGTAGGTGAGGCAATGGGCAGGAAAGACCACGATCTGAAGGAGGAGACACTGAGGCACAGAGAGGTCTCCAGGACAGGACAGGAATTTGAGAAGACTGAGCTCGCACTTCAGAACGCGTACCCCGCTCTCCCTCTGCCGAGTGTCCTTCCTCTCGCGATGGGACTCGCTCAGTCTGCTTCCACGCCAGCCCCTAACACACTGCCCAGCACTTAAAAGGCACTCAGTGAATGTCTGTGTTCTTGTTGAGTATTTTTTTCTTTTGCCATTTTCTCATTCACTAACATTTTTCCTTGATGTTTTTTTCCATGCTAGTTTTGAACCTCAATTGTATGATAAATAAGCTTAGCAAGTATATCAAGGTATTTTGCTCGCTCTCTCTCCTATTATCTGAGAATTCAGTTAGACTTCCCACCACACTCAGCTTTGCCTTGGCGTTTCCTAAGTAAACCTTTCCAACCTCGCTTTCCAGTTCAGATCTCTGATAAAATCCTCCCCGGTGAACCTCATCAGTGTCTTCAGTAATTCCCACTGGGCAGCTGTTCTACAGGGTCTGCAAACACGGGGCATTCTTCTGCCGTCCCCTTTGCTCCTGGCCTCGCATGCCTTTGTCTCACCACCCAGGAGGCAGCAGAGCCATCCTGCTTCCTGCATGTGTCACAGCTGTACTGACGCCGTCCAGTGTGTTGAGGTGCAGTCCAAAGGCTGTTGGGCAGCATGCGGCCCTTTGCTCAGGACTGCAGGCAGTTTGACATGCATACCTACCTGTGGCCTGGTCAGCTCTCAGTACCTGCCTGAGGAAGGGGTGAATGGAAAGCCAAAGAAGAACCAGATGATCTCAGTGCATCTGTGAGTGGCACTGTGAGTGGGTTAATCAGCTGTGTATTACTTGGCACCAGATACTCAACTGAATCCATTGGGTTTCTCTTGGCCAGCTCAGTGCTGTTAGCATATGGAAATCCGTGGTTATGGAGAGCACGGCTGACTTGCACTGGGAGTTATGAGTGAACACCTAGCCTGGGGCCTGGCGGCTGTGTTGTTAGCTGCTGGGTCTAAGGCAACTGTTGCTAATAAGAAAGGCAAATGAATGTTCATAGTCTGGTAGGATGTCTGGCAGTTCCTGCTCAAGAAATATTGCTTTTGGTCAGGAGAAAGTGTTGATTCTCCTCAGTCAAGCTTGGTCACCATGAAAGCTGCTGGCACACTCTGCACTTAAGATCAACAGTGGAAAATCTTAGAGGCTGGCGGGAGGTGTGGGACAGGACAGGAAGCAGTACCTTTCCAGACACCAGCAGAGAGAGACTGACTTGTTAAGTTCTTGGTTCTCTGATCTGAGACACTCAGTGTCCTTCCTTTAGGGCCCCCAGATCAAAAAGTTGACACAAGCAGTGACATCCAGCCATTGGGGTGGCAGCTGAGATGTGACTCCACATCCAGCTGGGCTCGCCCTTCTTTGCCCTGTGCGCCAGGCCTTCTTCCTCTGGGCTCACCTGCTGTTGTGCAGGTAGCCCCTGCATGCTGATCCACCTGGGAGGGACTGGACATGTCCTGGTTTTACCAGAGGAGTACCAAAGGATTAGATCCTCTTAACTCTTAACCCCCTCACCAACCTTGCACCGCTTCCGGGGAATAATCATGTAGGTCAGAGGCCTCCTATCAGTGCAACCCACCAACGGTGAAACACCACAGTCTACCTTTGGGCAAAGGGATTACCAACTTCCTGCTCTAGAAAGAATCCAAAGGCACTTGCCCTCGTTTTCGATCCTTTTTAAGTCCACGACTGAAAGAGGAGTCTGACACTTGCCCTGCTCATTTCTGTCTGCTGCCCACCGCCCTGCTGTTGTGCCCCCTGCCCCAGGTTGACCAGTGTTCACCTTGTGGATTCTTCTTTCTCACTTGCCACCCGCCTGTACTCCTCTGAGCCCACCTGGAGGGATGGTTCAGCTGAGCTCTGGCCGCATGGCCCTCCCGCCCTGCCCTTCCCTGTGTGTCTGCTCCAGGAAATGCTGTTCGAGCCATAATCTTCAGACACTTCTCTCTTCCTCTGGTTCCTCTTATTCCTCTGCAAACTATTGTTTCAAAATGTGAGTGGCTTTGAAGCACCATCCTCCATTTTTTAAAAGATTTATTTATTTATTTATTTGAAAGTAGAGTTAAAGAGAGGCACAGGCAGAGAGAGAGAGGAGAGAGAGAGAGAGAGAGAGAGAGAGAGAGAGAATGTCTTCCATCCGTTGATTCACTCCCCAAATACCCGCAATGGCTGGAGCTGAGCCAATCCGAAACCAGGAGCCTAGAGCTGCTTCTGGATCTCCCATGTGGGTGCAGGGGCCCAAGAACCTGGGCCATCCTCCGCTGCTTTCCCAGGCACATTAGCAGGGAGCTAGATTGGAAGTGGAGCAGCCAGGACTTGAACCAGCGCCCATATGGGATGCCGATACTGCTTTACCTGATATGCCACAGCACCAGCCCCCATCCTCCATTTTTCATACGGATTTTCCAACTCCATTTAAACCATAAAGTTTTGGATTCTTCTAGTGAAATCCAAGAAACAGACCTGAAAGGGGCTGATTTTTGCTAAGAGAAGTAACAGCATATTCAGCCAAATCCTAGAGGTTCCCACTGGCCTGTGTCCTACTTGCCCAGCCTTTCTTTACCAGTTTATCAGTGTTCTGCTAAGGCTAGCAACAGCCAGAAGTTCTAATATGAGAAAAAAGTTGAGCCCTAAAGACAAGTGCTCTGTTCTGGAGGCTTGAAATAATTTTTTTAGTGAGACTGTGTGGTCTTCAGAGAGAAGTGTGGCAACTGTCTACACACTTATTTTGGGGAGTTTGTCTTTGCCCTTGATTTTTTTTCCTAATGAGTAGAATAATCAAGTGACTTTATATTATAGGTTCTCAAATATATTTTTCATGATGGAGATGGTCTTCTATTTGTGGCTTAATATGTTTCTATTGCTAAAAAAATGAAAAAATGATACAGAACTATTTCAGCCATGTGGATTGTGTTTTGTGGCTTGAATTCCCTATTGGAAGGAAGTGGTCAGCTAGGATGCTCTGCCTTGGGTGAAGTTCGAAGGCATGGTCATTATAACAGCGTCAGGCATGATTTGGAAGGCGCGGACTGAACTGGCTGCTTTGGGAGGTCGGGAGCTCCCATTCATAGGAGCGTTCAGTCAACCAGAAGGTGAACAATTACTTTTAATGGAAGCTGTCGTTCTGGCTCTTGAATTACATGAGCGTTTGGAATAAAATGGTCTCTGAGGCTCTGTCCATTCTAAGATAACCATGTTTCCATGACCCCACGCAGAAGGCAATGTGCTCATGGAATATTAGTGGTAGAAGCTTTGTACAGAAGACTGTTTTCCACAAGTGAAAAGAAAGTGGGATGATTACCTTTCATTTCATTGCATAACTTTCAGATTGGCTTCTTTCTCATGTGACCGTAACCTTAGACCAAACCTTGTCAGTTTATGCAGAATATGGATTATTTTTAATCTGATATTTATATTATAAATAAGACACCAAACAAAAGTAGTAACAGAGAAAGCATAAAAAATCTCATTACTTTATCATAATCATTATTATCTTGATATAGTCCTTTTCATCTTATTATATTCATATTATTATTTATAGTTCCTCACAGTGCATATGTTACGATATCCTTTTACTTGAAACATTCAGGTATATTTTATTTCATGTTCTCACATTGTCTTTGAGATTATTATTCAAAAATAATCATTGACCAGATTATCCTGTCTGGTAAATATGTATATAAGTATCTTTATTGAATATGTGGTATCCGGTTCTCCAATATTATAGTTATAAATAGTGCTGCAGTAAATATTTGTTTGCCCACCATGTTGAATTATTTTTCAGGATTGCAAACATTAAGTTTGAGTACCAGGTCCAGAAATTGAAGCATGTTGTCTTGATTTTTGAGTTTTGGGTTTTTTTTTTCTTTAGTTTTTTGTTTTTTGGCTTTTGATGGAAAGTGCCAGCCTGCTTCCTTCCAAACGACTATGGCCATACCAGTATCTATTGCCTCACTGATTTCACCTAATCTTACCAGCCAGGGATGTTTTCACCTTGTTGATTCACATTTCTTTTAGTATAAACACGCTCATCATTTTTAGGGGGCATATGTGACTCATTGAAAAACATCTGTAGTATCCTTTGCCTATTTTATCTTATGAGCTCTTA